GTTAGTGGCTCCTTTCCAAGTCGTAGGTATTCCTCATACCTGGAACGGATAATTTTATACCAGTAATCAACAATTTAGATAAAAAGTGAGGGGCTTTTTCAGCAGTAGTTGGCTTATAAGTCACCCTTTGCTGATGTAATATGGAATATAGGCTGGTGCTAGTACTTACAAGTAGTACATGTACATGTAGGCCTAGGCCTCCAAAGCGAAGACAAATTTGCTAAATGGGAATCAGTATTGAACAAAAACAATCACAACTGAGAAAAAGATATACATTTTAAATAAAATAAATAAAATGAATGAGTGAAAAGAACATAATAAAACAAAATAGTTTGCTACAATGTCCATGTAAACCTGCACTGTACAGTGCAATACTTACTTTGCTCTGTGGACCCGACTCAAGTGTCTTGTGAATGCTGAGCTACATGTAGTTCCGGATCTCTCAGAAATCCGTGTTGAAGTGGAGCAGAAAATACACTCAGCCAAGTGCTTTGTATTCCCTTCCTTCGGGACAAGGTAATCCTTATGGTCTTTAAAGGCAAACTTAAATAACTGCTGAGCAACTCGACCTCTCCGAAACTTTATGAGCAACATAGCAAATCCTACTCAAAATTTGACCCCCAACGTCGAAAATGCATGTGAACAACGCTTGTACTGTACATGTGCCGTACCCACACATATCACTGGTATGTACACAGATATACCACTACATTTACTTCACAATGATTAGTATGTGCATTGGTATTCAGACTTGTTCCAGAACTAGATTACGCCAATCCTCAAAGATTGTTACGGCTAGGTCTATTGTCTTCGCGTCCGTTGCGCATTTCCAATGGAGCAAAGACCTAGACCTAGTTCTAGACAGGAGATTCAGATGCAGCCCAATTGATTCCAATTCTACTTGTGCTCTCCACAAACGTAAAATCTCACGCTAAACGTAACATCGTACTGTTATTCAGTATCGGTTTTTGCTATTTTACATTGATTTTGTGAGGTCTCCACACGAGACCAGATAAAAGTTGAGACGTGAAACATTCGAGACCGAGACCACAGCGTACTGAGACCATGAAAAACTGATCTCGAGACCGGTCTCGAGACTGGGACCTGTCTTGAGACCTACAACACTGCAAAGCGACAGAACCAACATGGGAGACAACAGTTATGATTAATAAGCCCAGAGTGAACTGGCGTATGCTTGCGTGCTACGGGTTGTCTCCGATGGTGGGAGGGATCATCGCATCTCATTAGTCAACGACCGCCCGCCTCAAGCTGGGCAGCCTCCAGCCAAATTAGGTGTTGATAGTCTGCCTGCTTCAACTGGTGCTTGGAGCTTAGGACAAGTCCCCCGAAAAGCAGCCTGCAAACCCAACACCAGGCAAACAACAAAGCGAGATGCAACTACCCGGTACCAGCCCTACAGCTGGCCACCTGGAATGTCAGAACAATGTGCCCTGGTCCCTCTGCTAACCTCCGGCAAGTTAACGATGCCAGGAAAACTGCCATCATTGACCGCGAGCTGTCGAAGCTCAACATCGACATTGCTTCCCCTCCAATGGTACTCTCAAGGAGAAGGACTACTAATTCTTCTGGCAAGGACTAGAGCCAGATGAGCGCCGACTCTATCTTCAGGGTCGGGTTTGCAGTACGTAACTCCCTCCTGTCATCAGTCGAGCCTCCATCTCAGGGGACTGCGCAAATCCTCCTTCTTTACTTCATGTCCTCCTCTGGTCCAACAAATAATCTTTAGCATCTATGCCCCCACACTCTGCTCTACAGCTGAAACTAAAGATGCATTTTATGAAGAACTCGAGGCCCAAATCAGAGAGATCCCCCGAGTGAAGCCCTGTTCCTGCTCGGAGACTTCAATGCCTGAGTTGGCTCAGACCACAGCTCCTGGCCACGCTGCATCAGACCATTCAGCATTGGCTAGTTCAATGAGAACGGACAGCGGCTACTTGAGCTTTGCTCCTACCACGATCTCTGCATCACAAACACATCCTTCCCCACCAGACCACATCACAGAGTGTCCTGGAGGCACCCTAGGTCCAAACACTGGCACCAGCTAGATTTCCTTATTACCAGGAGACCCCTTCTCAACCACGTGCTTTCACCCACACTTACCACAGTGCCGATTGCGACACCGACCACTCCTTGGTCAGCAGCAAGGTGTGTCTCCGACCAAAATGAATCCATCGTTCTAAGAAAAAGGGTCGCCCACGTATCTACACCGCCCGGACGTCATTTCCTGGACTACGCGAGCGTTTCGACAAAGCCATTAATGACACCCTTGTGGACGGCCCAACAGACGGTTCCATGATGTGATGGAACCACATCCGTGATGCCGTGTATGAGGCCCCTTTGGGCACCTTTGGGAAGAGAGTGAGAAAGAACAAAGATTGGTTTGTGGCAGGGATCGATGAGATGGAGCCTGCCATTGCTGCCAAGCAAGCCGCACTCCTTGATTTCAAGAGACAGCCCTCCAAGAAAACATTGGCTGCCTTTTGAGTAGCACGCAATAATGCCAAACAGACTGTGCGCAAGTGCGCCAATGACTACTGGTTGAGCCTGAGCTGTGATATCCAAACTGTGATATCCATGGACTGTAGTAACATCTGCGCCATGTATGAGGGCACGAAGAAAGCATTTGGTCCTAGTGCCATCAAGATCATTCCTCTTAAATCCACCTCAGGTGGCATCACCACACATCGCAGGAACCAGATGGAGAGATGGAGAGGACTGGTAGCCCCCCAAAGTGCATGAAGATGCAATCCTTTCATGATGACATGACTGGCACCATTCAGTACGATGGATCATCATCGGACCCCTTCCCATTCAAGAACGGTGTGAAGCAAGGAAGTGTCCTGGCCCCAACACTCTTCGTCGTGTTCTTCTCACTGCTGTTGCACTTTGCCTTTTGAAGATGGCATCTTCCTCCATGCACTATAGGAGTGATGGGAACGTCTTCAACTTGGCCCACCTAAAAGCAAAGACGTAGGTGCGCAGAGCGGTCATCAGAGAGTTGCTCTATGCAGACGATGCGGCCCTTACTGCCCACAGTGAGGAAGCACTCCAGCGGCTCGTCACCCACTTTGTAGAAGCATGCTTCGAGTTTGGCCTCACCATCAGCCTGAAAAAGACCAATATCATGGGCCAGGATATCAGTAGCACTCCCCCAATCACCATCGCAGACCACGCCTTGGAAGTGGTTGACAATGTTACTTACTTTGGCTCTACTATCTCAAGCAACCTTTCCCTAGACGCTGAGCTCAATTTGCTGATTGGAAAGGCAGCAACTGCAATGACTCAACTAACAAGAGTATGGGGCAACACCATGCTGACAACCAACACAAAGATGAAGGTGTACCAAACCTGTGTTCTGAGTTCCCTTCTCTACGGTAGCGAAGCCTGGACAGTGTACTCCTGCCAAGAACGCAGGCTGAATGCTTTTCACATGCGCTGCCTTAGATGACTCCTGGGCATCACTTGGCAGGATCGCGTCACAAATGAAGATGTCCTGTCTCAGGTGGGTGTGCTAAGTATATTTACCATCCTGACCCACAGACGGTTGTGCTGGATGGGACATGTATGCCGCATGGACGACAGACGCATCCTAAAGGATGTTTTGTATAGCAAGCTTGCCACAGGGACGCAGCCCATGACATAATTTTAATTGCTATAATTAATAAATAAAGACAAATATTACTACTTAGATGCCTGTGGGTGTGTGATTTGCACGGTGAATAATATTTTCTAGATTTGTGTATTTTACATCTTAAATAAAATTGAAATATGTCATATTTTGGGTAACGCCGTGACACAATGAGACAACTTTAATTGCTTCGCCGTTAATGTGAGATACATAATTGAAATCATAAATGGGCTTGATATGTGGTCAGTATATGTCATTAACATGATAACAATGCGGAATTCAGAAATTAGGTTTCATTATTGCTGTTGTTAAGACAGCTTTCAGTATGTTCCTGAAATTGTGGAAAATAACAGAAAATCCACTAATTAATTATGCATGAGAAGTGTGAGAACACCTTTTTTCCGCTAAATAGTCGCTGTTTCTGGAAGGTCTAGACATTTAGCTTTAATTTGATACCAAATTCAGTCATGCAAGACAATTTTTAAAATTCATTTGTCATGTCCACCTTTGCATGGAATTGCCCTTTATCCGAATGTTTAAGCCTTCCTCCACTTGTTTCTAGTTTAGGAGTAGGGCCACGTATACAGAGGTACAGTCCACTAGGCTGGCCCTATGAAGTTGAGTCTCTAACGTGCCGCTCTTCGACGTTTCCTTGACTTTCCTCCTGCATCACTGCCAAACCTCTTTGCTGAAAAACTTCGAAGTCATTCAGTTATTTACAGTAAATAATATTATAACCATACATGCTACTGATCCCCTCTGTGAAAAATTTTGGTGTAATGAAATTTAATTTGGGTTGAATTGGGACCTCAGATGGTGTTGACTCGGAGCGAGTTGATTCCAGACCATGGAGGTAGAATGTCCAGACCAAGTTGGCGACTTCACACTGATGAGTATACAGTGTGTGTACATTAATTGCCATGTTTCCCTGGACCATATCCGAATCTTTAAAAAGGCAATTCGTCGAGTCTAAGTTGCTCAGCCTATCAATATTATGGACTGATCATCATCCTGATGCAGTCGCGTCAAATGTCATTTCAAAAATTCAAATACACTGTATGCACAGCATGCCAAAGTGAGGTGGGCTAAGTAAGAAAAATTTATTTTTGACCTTGTTGCATCATGTATATCATGTGGGATTGCCTTCCATTAGAACAGCTGCACGTCAGGGGTGAGCACATCATCACACCCAACGACTTGCTTGGAGGAAAAAACAATTTACAAGATGTATGCAAAATCTAAGTGGGCATTATAGGCCTAGGCCTAGGCCTACTAAAGTCACTCATGTCACAACACGGTCTTTTCCTTTCTCAGTCAAGGACCAGGCCTATTTATTTCTGTAAAAGCAAAATACATTGTAGTGATTGCACTTACTCCATACCACCACGTCTATGATATCGCGTAGGTGTGCCAGCGATTCCTCAGAGACTAATTTCTTACGTGTTGTCTGGATGATACACAAAGTCAGCAAAAATAAACGGATTAAAGCTTAACGACCACCATGCGCTCAGTATGGTAATTGGTATCACTCAACGTGCACGTGTGCCATCGCCATGATACATCCCACCCACGTGTTGTTTGCAGTGTGTCTGTCCGTAATCGGTCCGCTCCGTAAATGGGTTTTTGGTGCAGCGTGAGTTTTGCGTAGTGACCCACGCATGTGCGAACTACATACAGCCGGACTACACTGTTGATGCACGATAGCCAGCCCAGGGGAGAAACACACGTGGACGCAATGGACTTGTGTTCTTAAAGGACAAACCGAACCCTTTACTCCTGACAACAACCGCCACTTCACAGCCATTGTCGTCTTTTTGTCCTCTGTCGCGTCCTAGCCTCCTCGGCAAAATGTTGAGTGTCATAGCTCACCTGAACTCGCTAAAGTTCGTGGCGCCGGCGGTGATGATGATGGGCTCCGCGCCGCCGTACTTCGTGCTGTTCAGCGGGTGGAAGGTCGTGTCGTGCCTCTTGCCTGAGCGTTGGCACCGGGCGGTGGACGATTGTCTCTGGGGGACCTACCAACGGCTGGTTGAGTTCTTCTTTGAAAACTATACAGGCACGGAAGTATGTGAAATCGTGTAATCTCCATGTATACCACATAGGCACGAGTAATATACAATGTACTATGCTATGCTAGCAGGCGAAGGCCTACTCAACTTGGCTTGGTCAATTGTGTCGTGTTGTTGGTTCGACTTTTTGAGCCGGGCTGGGGGGGGGGCGAATGGACGGGATATTGAGACTGTTTTCTGAAACAATTGTCCATTTGCCAAATGATTTTTCTTAATCCATAAACAAATCCACCTCCAAGGGATTCTGCTACTACTTTTACTGAAGAAATTGTTGGCACTTTCAATGTCTGAAAATTAAAGACACCACTTGGAAAGAGTTCCATGTTCCCTAAAGTCACCTGTGAGTCATTTGAAAGCAATAACATGACCTAAAAAGTCATTACAAAATTCTTGTTTCAATTTTCTTTTTTTGTAGGGGGGGACAGCCCCCTTGCCCCACCCCCAAGGGGTTGTTATGCAAATGGACTTCGGGTTCAAGCCATGCGGTGCTCCAAAGTTGAAATTATATATATCCACCTCCTGTATGCTATAATTTAAAAAACCTGGAAAAGAAACTTTTAAAATTTCAGGTGGTACTGTATGGCGATGTGGAAGCCCTGGACCGGTCAGAGAATGTGATTTACATGTGCAACCACCAGACGACGATGGATTGGGTGGTCGCCGACATGATAGCCATCCGTGGAGGCATGCTGGGAAACATGCGATTTGTCCTGAAGGATGGCTTGAAGTACATGCCCCTCTATGGGTGGGAATTCGGTCAAGTAAGTATGCGAGGGGTGCACCAGAGCCGTCCTAAATCCTTCAAAAGCCTCCTCTACGCAGGAAATCATAGGTACATTGCCCTGCGCCTCTTCGCGACCAGTTAACACCAGTTTGCTGATAGAAGGTTGAGGCTTTAGAATGTTCGGCCAGTGTCAGGCCTCAAAGTGTGGCGGCAATGAATGTTATAATTTTTTTTGCAATTTGATATTAATGTGGTTAGTGCATTGAATAGAGCACCTGTTCTAAACACTTAATAATATCATTTTTGCCTTTGAGAAAGATTGTGACTTGAATTTAGCCATGCTTTCTGGGACAACTGATGGCGCTGTTGCTGTGATGCCAGCCAGGGAAGACCTAATACGGTGCCTAGGTTTTTCTGTTAGAATTGTGAGTTCAGAATTTACATACAGCATTTCTGAGAAAGATATTGATGTTTACTTGTTGCTGTGTACATGAACAACAATAAACGAGTGAAGAACAGAAACTTTGGACCGGCAAAATCTACAAAAATGCAGGACTTCTTTGTGTACAAACCAAGGTAGCATTTAGGCTTTCTTCCTGGGATGACATCACCATTTTGCTCATGAATATGCAAATCTCAGCATAAACTCCGGAAGGGCAGTAAAATACCCTTTTAAATGGTAAAACAAAAGTTGAAAATAATGTTAACTGATACCCAAAGGTGCATTGTGAAGGTCTGTATCAAAACAAATTGTTTGCAGCTGTCCTTTAACGAGATATACTTAGACTTCTCTGGCCTGACGTTTAGGCTCTGGACAGCAACGTGACAAGCCTCCCTGGTCTGACTTGATGCATTTTCCATCTTAACCCTAACCCCTAGGATGTATGTAAAATCGTATTGAAATTAGAGGATTTGGCCCTGTTAGGATTAATCCGTTTAAAGTCTGCAGACAAACTTTTTTCGTCCAGTGGGAAGTTAAATGTTATTTGCAAAGATTTTTGGTCTTGTTAGTAAACAGTCTTCATGATATCACAGACTGCATAGTTTGAAAGGGGGGCTGGGTTATTTTTATTTTGAGAAGTTGCATTTTGGGGGCCTGCATGAGATGAGAACTCCAGAATTGTTGCACCCTTCAACTGTACATTTGTGACAGTGAAACTCCCAGTGTGTTTGCTGTTGTTTTTGCTCCCATTTTCCATGTTTATTTTTCTGATGTTGAATGTTTCAGCACGGCGGTATTTATGTCAAGCGGGACAAGAAGTTTGATCAGAAGAACCGGAAGCAATTTCGCAAGAGACTGGATGTCCTACGCAAGAATGATATCCCAGTAAGTCACATTTTCAGGAAAGAGTAGACTCTGGGTATTGAGTATTATGCTCAGTTACTAAAATGAAAACATCACTGTGAATGTAGAAAGATTCCCTTCCGTTTAAAGGATGGAAACTCTTGTTTTTGCTCCCGTGGACGATAAGTGTCCATTCTGAACATCTCCATTTGTATAATTTGTCTCCATTTTGTCTTCAGACATGGTTGATCGTTTTTCCTGAGGGGACTCGCTATAATCCACTCAACGGGGATCTCATCCGAGCCAGTCAAGCATTTGCTTTCAAAAATGGTAACTCCTTTGGACTTGAATAATTTGAATTAGTTCCATGTGAAATGCTTCTTGGGTTGAGGGTTAACAGAGCCGTCCGAGTCCTGGTCAAGTGTAGGAAAATCTTTTAGGATTTTTTTGTGGGGGGGGGTATGTAAGCGGAAAACCTTTGGAAGGTCTCATACGGAAGAGGGCTCTCAGTGACAGAAAGTATCAACAAAGAAAGGTAAAACTGGCTTTTCTCAAGAACCGGTAATTGTCAGTGGGAACAGCTCACATTTTCAGTGGGAAGAGTATGTGTTTTGGTAGGAACACAGGAAGTTTTTTGAGTTATCAGGTCCTTTCTATTGTAAAATGTTCCAATCTATACAAATGTCAAGACACCTTCCGACATTGGATTTTCTTGACGCCCACATGCTACAGGTTTGGCCGTCACCAATCATGTACTCTCGCCGAGGATCAAGGCGGTCAACATGTGCATTCAGGGACTGCGGGGCCACACCGCCGCAGTGTACGACGTCACCATCGCGTACTCCAACACAGGTGAAGAGTGCAGTAGCCTGGAAATGGTGGAGAGACGACCGGCTCCGGGAATGCCAGGTGAAACTGCTATGAGGCGACAGGGACCGAAACCAGGCCTGGTTAATTTGTGATTAAGGTCTAAATATAGCTTGTCCTCACACATTTTTGTACCGTTCTTCCAGTAAACCGTTTGAGGTGGCCTAATACCTGTGTTGTTCAACGACTGAGGGGCCACATATTTTAATTATTTGTCCAGGTAGTTCATGAGTTTTTGATATTTATCTTTGCTTCTGTGTTGCCAGAATTCCTGCAGTTACGGTGCCCTCGTATCCACGTCCACATCCGGCGTATTCCCATGGAGACGATTCCGGAGGACGAAGAGTCTTGCCATCGATGGCTGCATGAACTCTTTGAGGAAAAGGACAAGTTAGTCTCCCCTTTAAACTTGGTTTCAAAGCATGGAGGCAGGACACAGAGAGAGTTACAACCCTGGCGCATTAAAGGGCGTGATGATCATCGCCGCCCGGTCAGACGAACAATAGTAAACATTCCAAAACGTCCTGATTATTGCCTGCAGCTTAGCCGGACAAAAGGGGCCAGTTATATTGTAGGAATATTTGTAATGTTTTCTTTGCAATTAACTAAAACTTATCGCAGTGATCGGGAAATAGAAAGAATAAATATCTAACAGATTTACTTTTGCCGTTGTGAATAATTTTTAAAAAGATTTTGATGCACTTTTCCATTTTCCATGCAATGTTTGTAATTTCGTTTTGTCACTCCAAAACATCAGTTTTCAAAGTCTTTGTACGAATTTGGCTAAGACTGGCCAACAACATGTTGACTACTACAGGACAGTTAAGTTCACGAAAAACAAAATGCGCTGTTGCATCACAGGGAGTGATCACGAGATCTCATAAAATACCTTTTTATGTAAATACCGCAATAAAATTGATTAAAATAAAGCACAAAATCTCACAAACAACTTGGCTATCTATTACCAAAATAAGTCCAGAAGAAAGCGTTCGATAAGGGCAACAACTGCACATGAACACTAAGGGCACACAGCCTAATAAAAGCAACTGCGCAACATAAAATTTGATGCCAGATCACACCAAGCACCAACGACGGCATGAATATTGAACTACCTATGCTGCAGTACACAACGTTTTAAGGATGCAGATTACCAGTGAAAAATTGCAGCGATGATCATGGGGTACAAAGGGGGATATGGTCGTGAAACATGTGGTACTTAGCAAGCCTTCACTGCGCCTGGCTATGAACATACCAGACATGCCAGAAATCGGTAATTGGCCAGGTGTTATAGCCTAGGCAGTTCGAACTCCTTCTGTGTTCTTCCTCCATGGTTAAGGATAATTGTTCCCAGTCTGAAGATTTGTCAGCTCTGAGTAGTGTAACGGGAACCCCTTTATGGGGGGGCCACACCCGTTAGTTAAGAACACAAACTCAACCAGACACAAGTTAATTTTGGTCTCCGGAAAAAGTATTTTTAAAAAATGAAGATTTTTTATTTCTTAATTCTCCGAAAGGGGTGAGATTGACCAGGCTGGGTCTCCATGGCACTCGACAACATAGGAATTAAACATAAGGAAACAAAGAAGCAAACTTACACGATGAAACAGAAGAAAAACGCTGATGGACGGCGCTAACTTATACAACATCATAAAACAGGCTACATCAAGCTTCACCTTAGCAAATCAAACCGCCGAGGACCGCTAACACCAGCTACAGAGATGAGTCCCCAGCCGTAGTGTTCTGTAGAAATGCCTCGCCCAGTGGTAGTCACATGGGCCTTATATACCCTCCTGGCAGACCATCAGTGGGATGCTAAAAGCAGTCCATTGTACCTTTTGTGCTTTACATCAATGGACATGGCCCAGCACTCCTCCCCCAAAGGAATGTGGCCTCACAATGAACATACCAACAGCTGGGTGCACTACTGAAACACTACTGTCTTGACCCAGCACCCAGAGACCTTTTTGTTCACTATAGTAGAACTGGAACCTTCTTTGGCTTTGACTGGATGGTTCACTGGTTCCATGCGGGGGGGGGATATGTCGATTCCTTAACTGCATCTGAAATCATGTGTCTAGAGTCAAGGTCCTCACATACTGTAATTTTTGGAATATTAGTGGCGTGGTGTTTAAGACGCATCACGTAGAAATCTGCAAATTAAGATTTGAAGTCGCCATTTTAGCCACACTGGCGTATAAACCGCATCGTTGTACTGAAGGTGTCCCACATGAAATCCTAAAGTGTAAGCAGTGAACAAAAGAGGGTCACTATTAAAACTAAACTTTCCCAAGTCCTTGAAATTACCAATTTTGGCGGGCTGGATGAGTGTCCTTGTGGGGTGGACCATGCAGCAGTTCTTCATGTTCTTGTTTTTTTTCCAACAGTTGTCAATTGACTTGTGAAATGATAAACAGCATGGACACAACGATAAAACAGACAAAAATGAACAGATGATTTGTGAAGTGTGAACTCCTGAGTAGGGTTACTCATTGGCTCCAAGTAGTGTACTCAGTTTTGAGCGAGTTTTTTTTCCCAAGTTATTCCAAATGGAGAATTCACAGGTTCAGGGGTAAGATTGTAGTGGTTCCGAAAAAGAGGACTGACTCCAAGATATTTATCTTCTCGAATGGTCACTCGACCGGGATTGAACTTGGGTCTTCAGATCTCTCATCTTCTCGTTCATATTGGTTCCCCATCATTTCAGTATGCTGTCAGATTTCTACTCCAACAACACTGAGAAGCGAGGTCGCCTCGAGGGCGAAGGTCGCAGCACTCACCTGGGACTGCTGTCCACCCTGCCAGCCGTGGCGTTCTCCTGTGCCCTGCTGGCCCCACTGGTGGGGACCAGCTATGGCCGGCAGCTGTACTGGAAGATCTGGCTGTTCGGGTCGTTGGCTGGAATCACGTGGATGAAGCTGACCACCTGAGCGGCAGTCGGAATTTTTCAGGCCCGTCCAAAAAAACGCAACCTTTTCTGGTGGAAAATGGGTTGTCAAGATTGTCTAGAGAATGGAAGTTTTTTCTTCATAGTGATGGTGTTATTGTTGAAAATGGACTGTAGTTAACAAATTTTGGAAAATTCCCAATCCAACCTCTACCCATAAATCCTGGTTTTGACAGAACATGCCACAAATGCCTTCTAAACTCTACTCCAAGCTGAACTCAGCAATTTGCAACATGTTTGCAACATTTGCAAACATTTTTTTTTTAATTGTAGATGATTTAACTCCCAATGCCATTTTGTTCCCGGCAAGAACTGTTCTCTCTCCTCCCAAATCATCTACTGTGCAACGAAGTGGTTCCACTTTTTTGCTTCTTTTAACACAGGGATTAACTCTTACCCACTGGGGCCTTCTTATAAGGGTACATCCCCAAGCCTCCAAAATCCTCCAACTGCGCAACCTCAAAAACTGCATTCATGCTGAATCCTCCAACTGCCCAACCTCAAACACTGCATTCATGCTGAATCCTCCAAAATCTTCCAAAATCACCCCGAGGATTTTGGCGGACTGAGGTGGGGTTAGGGTTAAGCCCTTGGTGGAGGCTGGGCTTTTGACCATCTGTGATGGTGCAAAGTCCTCCCATAAAACCTCCTGCCAACTTTGTGGGTAAGGTGTGACAAAGACCTTTGGAACTGAGCTGGATTGGGCAGAACTCTTAGCAGAAACCCAATATGGGTCAAGGGTCAGAGGTCAATTAGAACATAGCAGTTAGGTCACATCCACAGATCTGATTTGATCGTTCAGGAATGGGTGTGCAGTGAATATTCGTGTAATAGACCAGGGTCAACCGGACTACTACTTACAGAGTATTCTAGTGATAACATTTTGCCAGCCTCAAGAGAAACTGTCTACTGTATGTGTAGCAGTGGTATTGTCAATTTTTTTAATACTGTTCAGAGGAATCAGGAGTTTGCACTGAAATTTCGTACAAACACTTCTTAAAAATCTGTCTTTACTGGGTTTTCTGTATGCTTGTTAAATGATCTGTAAAACCAGTCTAGATTTGTCAATTGTTGCCTTGGCAGGTGTGGGTGTCCAAGGTGGGTTTTCTGGAAAATAAAATAAAAGTGCAGTCTTGTTTATCTTGTTGGAGATTTTCTATTTAGAAGTTTGGATTTTGATGTCCTGATTGCATAAAGGTGGAGTATTTCCATTGTAGGATTTTACACAAACTAGTTGTTTCAGTTCAACTTGTAATAATTCATTTTTAAAAACACCGTCACACTTTCAGGTTTTAGTATTCACTAGGTTTATTTTCTGATCAGCAATGTAAAATTGCCAACACAAAATTTAGTCTGAAACTCATTTTTTTTTTCTCTCACAGTATGTAAACACAGTAAATAAAATTCCTGTCAAATCTGAGCAACATTATTCCCAAAAGGACTATAAAAGACATTACAGAAATTTGTTACCCGGACACCCACAGTTGATCCTTTCGAGCATCATTTACTACACGAACCATTTAACATGTCTTGCAGAATAAAGAAAAGCAAATTCAAACACACTGCGTCCTGAAAGTCAGACAACATTTCAGAACAATTCTTTCAACGGTGAAACGCTGTTTTTTTTTTAACAAGGTACGTGTCTCTACTGCACTAAAATGAAACGAATTTCTCTGTGAGCTTTATCAACTTTCAAAGTCAAATTCAATTATCAATGAGGTTTCTTTTCCACATAAACCCCACCGTGTGTCTGCAATGTGAAATATTCCGACTCTGTACAGCTAATACAACAAAATTGGAAAAAATTGCAAATCCTACGCCAAAATGATTTTTTTTTTTCTGTTTGAAAAGGTGAATACTTTTCCAATATCTATTTCTTCCCCTTCAAATAAAAGTAAATGTTTTAAATTGCATTGCTTGACAAAGGAGACAACCCTGCCATCTAAAGTGTGAGACTTACTGGAATAGAGCCAAGATTCCACATCGTGTAGACTGTAGGCTATGTACATTTACATGTGTCTATATGTGTAGGCCTAAATCTTTTCCTTACATTGTTGGGACTGTCATTAGCCAATTCCAAATCCATCAGAATCTGTTCCTACTTGGTGGATTATAATGGACTTGGGCTCCAGATGGCCTGAGGTGAACCCTGACCATCCCAAATCCATCAGAATCCATTTCCACTTAGTGGATTTTAATGGACTCGGGATCCAGAGGGACTGAGGTGACCAATTGTTGATGGATCATGATGGGCATGGCCTGAAACACTGGCGGAGCATTCAGTGCATATTGTCAAGGCAACAGTATCCATCGACAAAAGCCATCCCGCCTGCGGTGGACTTTTTTCCGCAAGTGTTGGATTTTGATGGATTTCATCCAGTCCCTAGTAAAAGATAAGACTCTGGGGAGTTAGAGTTAACGACCCATTATGATACTTGCATTCTGACAAGTAGTGTTGATTCCCAGTTTTATGAAATTGTAGCGATATTTTCTGCTTCATGTGAGTGCAATCGACTCATTTCATGAATGAGCTTCCGGAAATGGACAGTCCTAAACTTGAAAAATAAGCCTCAGCCGCGAAGAGTTGTAGTCCTAGATGGACCTGTCTCTCTACCCAGCATGCATCATAACCTTCATTTACATTTATGAACTTCAAATCTAACTCCACAAATAGCCTGGGGGTAACTCCAGCACCTTTCTCACAATGTGCAAAATGCAACTCAGTCCATCCTAGAAAGTTTCCATTCATTAAACCAACTACATGTGGTCAACTCTGATGCTTAAATCAATTGCGTGAGCACGAAATTAATTTTTCGGGACTGTCTTTCAAACATGTCACTGAAACACTATCGTGGTCTTGAAAGTGTGTTTTTGCCTAGAAATCAGAAATGAAATTTCAAGGTCCTTCTTTTTTCCCCACACTCTGTTACCACAATACTTTCAGGTGTAAAAAGAACATTCCATTACTGTGATGTGACGAGTAAGAACATGTCAGATTTGATCCCAGGTTGCTTCCTGCAAAACATCTCAAAAACAAAACAAGCTGGACAGTCATTTTTTTTTATAAATAAAGGTTATCATGCAGAATGTCCCTCGGCTCTGCCTGCTTCACCGTACTACAAGCTACACTGCGGGACCCAATCCCCCCCCCACTGCAGGGAGGCTACGCCGGGTAGAACTTCTTGGCGGGGTCCTTGGCATGGTCCTTCAGGAGTTGGCAGGGGGCGAACCCGGCCCCGTACAGCCCCTGGTATCTCTCCATGGCAGCCACCAGCTTGTCGGCGCCAAAGTGATCCACAAAGCGGAAGGGACCTGTAATCCCCCAAAACAAAATTATGCGTACAGGCTCAACCAGGCCGACAGCATTAGTGCGGTCAGCACCGCAGTTGCGTATTCTTAACCACTTCGTGCTGGGACAGGATAATTATCATTTTTTCTGTTTTCAAAATTCTTTACAAATTCATATCTTCATTTACTGGACAGTTACACCCACACGAAGGACTGTCTGGTTTTTACTCTAATCTGACAGGCAACATCTGTTGACGCTAGAGTTTTAGGCCTGCTGCCTTGTAAAAACAGCCCAGATTTTGCGGTGTTACGTAATTTTCTTTTGTTCACGAAACTGACAGTGCACTGCTGACCTCTTTTCAATAGGGGCCAGATTAGCATGCAGTGGTACTGTGTGGCTCATCGCTGCGGTGGAGCGCTTTTGTCCCCAGTGGTAATCCGCTCATGCTGAATGGCCCAAACCGTGGTATACTGTTTCAAAACAAGACTGGATTGCCTCCAATATTGGTCTTTTGTTACAAGGCCCATTTCCCTTTGTCCGATTTCGGAGACCCCAGCCACACGTATAAAGAATACGTGTTCAAAGGCTTTAGATCTGATATTTTGCCATTTTGTTTACCACAACGTCAGTCCTTTTCATCCATTCAGCTGAGGGAAATCATCACCGCCACTGGTGGAACTGCGAAGAACCGTCACCCAGGTCAGAAAAACAGACTCCTAAACTTTCAAAACACGTGACTGAATGCCCCTGATGCTAAAATCTTGCCTATTCATGCTTGCTCTTCCTATAACAGCTGTGCCAGTGTTGGATATTGTTGGCACAACTGGTATATGACCGAGGCAATGGCCCTCATTACGCTGCCTCATATCTTACCTCCATGGAATGGTGGGAAACCAAGACCAAAGACGGCACCGATGTCACCCTCAACCTGGATAAAACCGACAAAAGCAGACCGTGAAAGTAATTCAGCATACTTTTTTCCAGGTGCAAAATACCTTCTTCACAGGGAATGCATTATTGATCTTGTTCCCAGAACCAACCATATTCAATGTTATCTGCTAATTGGGGTGGTGCCAGACTATTTTGGGTGCCAAGCCTCACTTTCAGTTTATAAATGTGGCTTCAAACATTTAGATATAATTTATCACAAATTTTTAATTATTCTCAATGTAGACTGGTATGAATTTGTATGGACCTTTTATTTCGTTGCCGTTACTTTTACTCTTAGGTTTCCAAAATGAAACGCTAACCTCACTTTAAATTCAAGATGGCCGACATACAAATACAGTCTATTAGAACTTGACAAAATTAACTGATTTCAATACACGTCTCAGATTAAAACAATAAGAATAATAGAGTTTACCTTCTATACACCCAGTTCCCAAAATGACAACTTTCTTAACACCCAGCAGTAAGGTGCCGTAGTCTTACCGGGGAGATTAAGATGCCCTCCTGTAAGCACATGACTGCCTCGTTGACGAACCTTGACGCCAGACGGAGCTGGATGTCCTCCTTGGAGTCGGCGCCCTTCTTCGGGATCATGTACTTCTTCATGATCTCTTCGGCTCCGGCGTTGACGTCGCGATTTTTGGAGCTGCCCTCGTAGATGAAGCAGCCTTTGCCCGTCTTGCGGCCTGCAAAGATGCAGGAGAGGCAGGCCACCCCAGTTAATGAGTTACCTGAGCGTGACTTGTGATGTCCGGATCATGTGAACACCGATGGCAGTAGCATTAAGCAAACAATCTCAGCATACTCCAGCAGACTAATTTCACCAAACTTTACGCAATGGCGTAACTCCACTTAAGCCACATTTCATGCAACAAATTGAGACCGATTTCACGGACCTGACGCACTGCGTAAGTCCATGACTTACGCAACAAATTATGGCGTAACTTATGCAGTCATTTTAGGTGGTTTAAGTTACGCGTCATCATTGCTGAACTTACTACGGATTATACAAGAAACAAACAACTTTGTTGTGAAAGGTAATAATAAACTTGTCTGGCTGTGAGAAAACTGCAAGACTTTTTGTCTGGTTCTGACGAAGAAACGACGAAAACCTTTCAAAATGGCGGGCAGAGGTGATTCAAATACTGTTTTATGTTATATGGGAAAGGAACAGCCGTCGTAAAAGCCGTTTTTGTCCTCGTCCAAGAAGTTTAATATCATCAAAACGTGGCGCAGCTACGCAGCTTTTCGTGAAATCGAACGTAAGCAAATTGCGCAGCTATGCCATAAATTGGTGGCGCAAGGCATACATGTAAATTCGACATGTTGAAAGCAACCACACGCAAAAATCTGGCCTTTGTTTCATGTAACTTACTTCCCGGACTTTAGCCAATTTGCCCCTACATGTAACAATTTTTCTGTACCCTTCACAATGGCATCAACTTTCCTTCGCAAGTGATCAACTGAACTGCCATGTTTTCGCATTGCATTGTGGGTTACTTCCCCATGTAACCAGCTCGGCGGGTCGTTTACTTAGACTTGGCCCGAGTAAAGTGTGAGAAGTCGCATGAGTGTCAAATCAAAAACACTTACCCAGAGTAAGGGGGAATAGGGGGATTATCATACGCGTAATATGCTGATTAAAAAAAAAGGGTTTAAATGAAGTGTCGTAAAAGTTAAATTGCTCACCCAAGAAGCCAGCCTTGACCATGTCTGTAAGGACGTTGATGTCGCCGCCGGAAAACCGCTCGCCAAAAGAGCTTCCCAAGAACTCGGCCACGTGTGCGGCAACGTCGATACCCACTTCATCAGCCAAGGTGGCGGTGCCCACAGGCCACCCGAAGGAGGTGCTGTACTTGTCTAAATCCTTGGGGCTCACTCCCTCCTGTAGGTTAAAAAAAATCGCAAACTCCAGAAATTTAAGAACGGGAATAAATGACCAACTAAATGAAACTCACTGGTCGATGCATAGATTTTCCTCGAGGGGCGGGGGGCGGGGCAGGGTGGGGGGGGGGCAGGTCGTCCTTTTTTGGAATGAGATCCCTAAGTATGGTGAGTACATTATGGTACTAAAACAAGCCTACATGTCTTTCCTGCCAGAAATGTTCAGTTTTCTTTTGGGACTTGTTTTATCAGAGATCTTCAAGATACCATACAAAGGACTGTTATTGCCTGTGTTCATTTTAAGCTTGATAGCAGGTGGATCTATTTTCGTCTGTCCAAGGGGGATCCTCCATTTCTACAATCCTTTCAAAAGATCCGCTCATTTGAATGAAGTGAAGCGATGGGGTTCCCTGCCGGGGGAGTATTTTTCGGCTGTCCAAGGGGGGTCCCTCTGTTTGAACAATTCCTTCTAAAGATCTGCTCACTTGTGAAGAATACTACAGAAAAAATATCAGGCGCCAGAGATCGACCCTGCCTACCTGAAGGACTCGCACGGCTTCGGACAGCATGGGCCCCAGGATCCTGGTGGTGTAGAAGCCCGGCCCGTCCTTGACCACGATGACCACCTTGCCTTGTCTCAGGCCCACGTTGACGGCCGAGGCGGCCGTGTCCTGGGAGGTCTTGTCCGTGGTGATGATCTCCAGCAGCTGCATCTTGTCCACAGGAGAGAAGTAGTGCATGCCGATGACCTGTAGGGGAAAAAACAAAAAAGGTTCCGAAGAAAATTAATTAAAAAACGCACGTTGTCTTATCCTTGTTCAGGGACGTTGTGTAAAAGTTCACTAGAAAAGCAAAGCTCTTTTATAAGGCAATTTTTTTTTTGTCCGTGCATCCAACGCAAACCATGCACACTTGCTCGATAATATCATTTAAGTGTATCTAACGTGGCTTGTTATCGGTAATTTAAAGCCAGAGATGGAATTTCAGGCTATTCATGGTAAAGGACAGCGACAGGTGGAAGGGCTCCTGACGACGGACTGAGCACGCAGTCCAAAACGTTGAGTATACTCTCGGTTCTTTTCTGAACCACACATACTCATAAGAGAAATTTATTCCTTCGCATGGTGCTACTGCAAGCCCTTCCACCTGTTAAAGCCAGAGACTCGTTAGGCTCAAAGTCGGTTATTTTAGACTGGATGCTATTCAAAAGGACCTTGCTTTCCTTGATTTATCTTTTTCACAGGGAACTGGGTGCAAAACTGGGTCGTGTTACCTTAAAAATTGAAAAATAAGAATTTATAGTCATTTCGGCGATTTGGAGGATGTGTTGTCAATGAGCCTGAAGACTGTTTGCATTTAACAGAGCGCTGGGCAAGTACATACGTCAATTCAGAGTGGCCTGGGGGGGGTTAACATGCCTGCCTGATGTACTGAAACGTTGGCGTGAAGAAAATTACTGATGGTAAAGACTGAGTGTGACTGACTGTCGGAACCCAGCCCAGTGTAACTTTCACACTGAAGTTTAGACTTAAATTCCATCTCTTGAGGTGTGTACCTTCTCCGGCCTGACGCTAGCTTGGGCAATCTTAGTGATGGGAAGGGCCGACGTGTTGGAGGCGAAGATACAGTGCTCTGGAATGACCTGCACAAAACGAAACCAAAAATGATTGCTTAGATGTGGTTGATCAAATTGTGCAACACTCTGCAGGTGTAGGAGCAGTGTAAACAACGTTGCCCTCCAAGGGGTTACCACGGAGATGCCCAACACAAAGACTTCACAGTTCTGACATTTCTTGGCATTTCTCCTAAATGAATAAAAGTTTGAGCTTATTTTAGTACAAGGGCTCAGTATAAAGTAACAGAAGCAGGTCTTGCTTAATCAAACAAATATTTTCTGAATCGTACAAATGGATATGATAGAGGACAATCAAGTTTAAAGTCAATGTTTTTCTGACCTCAAGACAAGACAAGACATTCCACAAGCTAATCTAACTTACGGCCTCGACCTCCTTGACCACTTTGTGTTTGATGTTGATGTCCTCAAAGACGGCCTCGATCACCATGTCGCACTTGCCAAAGTTCTTGTAGTCGATCTGACCCGTCAAGTTGGACAATAGATGGTCCCTCTCAAACCTGTCCTCCCCCATATCAAGAGATTTCAGAGAATCAACCATGACTGTTGAAAATGTATGAATACAGAGAGTGCTGGGCGATGGCCACTTTGGCAGGCAGACAGCTATGCTTTGCTGGAAATGTTTGTGCGCTCAAACAGTACAAATCGTGCCATGCAGTGTTTACAGAAAAAAAAAAGCTCGTTTCCCGATAGCAATTTATCAACTTACGTAGTTATTCTCTTGCTTTTGGCCTTTTTGTTGAACCTGAAACAAAAAATCAAACAAAATGATGTAACGAACACGCCAGAAAAGTGAAAGCGAGTTTTTGATTTTGGTTTAACCACCTTAACCCCTCTGTTGGGAAGTATGCGGAGCCTGTCAATATCCAAGATCACACAGTGAACCAATGGTGGTCCATTTGTTGCTCTTGGAACTGAGTGGTTGGTCTGTTCTGTCCTGAACCAGGTGTCGGTAGTTTGGTGGGTTCAGGGTTGCTGTGGATCACAGCGGTGGCAAAATCAAATGCCAATCGCGACTTCCCTGGTAAATCAATTTCTCGACAAACCACTATGAGTCTTCTCGAAAATAAATTTTTGTCAGTAACTGCTGGCTTTGAGGGAAGAGAGAGTTGGTGTTAGCAGCAGTGCTATAGACAAGTCCCTTGAAAAGTCCCTCATCAGTTCCAAGCTAACTCTCAAGTTATTGAAACGAGGTGAGACATTCTGTTCCATTACTTGGTCTTGTGATAGGATTTGTAACTGGTCTCGTGAAAGGACTTGTGGAAGGCCTTCAGGTGGTCTTGCCTGCAACAACGGTTGGCCGATTTCACATCTCCTCTCTGGAAGACACTACTGCACTATGTGTTTTGATCCTGTGAAATTGCTCAGAGGGGCTGCGCCCTTGGAAGGGCCTCACCTACCCTTTGTAAATTTGGTCCTCTCCCCGGGCCAGCCCCTCCAGGGACATGTCCTTCAGGATGACGTGCATCTCCTTGTCGATGCTGACCTGTGCGATGCCGGCGCCCATCAGGCCGGCTCCCAGGATGCTCAGCGTCTCCACAGGGCGCTGCGGAGCCCCAAAGCGATTCTTCTTGCAGATGACCTGGAAAGGCAAACAGCACCCGTGGTGACGAGCGGCGGGATAAGGTCGGGTGAGAATGACAGTGAAGGGGTGGGGGATAAAGACATGGAATTGGGGAAAGAGGGGGTGGAGCTAAGAGGCTTGTAGTGGGGCTTGGATGTAAGTATAAATATTGTTCTCCACAAAAAACGAAAGTTTCTGCTTTCTGCCATATCCAGAAAAGTGCTCCTAAATGTGGCTGCTCCTTTCATGACAAAAAGCCCCTGTGTCAGCGATAACTAAGGCCTTGAGAAAAAAACTGGTTTCCAAAGATATGGTTACGCCTGTTGTCAGTGAGTCCCCACGTCTTTCTACAAGGCAGGTATCAAGATTTAGCGCCAGTCGCTGCCCGACAACATATTCGGACGCAGCCTAAGAGACATACATGTGCATTAGACTAGCCACTTGCATTCAAGAGTTTTACCAGTTCCTCCTGTAAACGCAATACTCGGGGAATCCAAAACAGGAGAGGAGTATATCAGGTGATATCTTCAGTTCAAGTAAAGTGACTTGGCCCGGGAGACAATCGAGGACTGAAGCCTATCGGTAGTTCCGGGAGTGGCTGAGCGGGGGAAGTTGATAAGCCCAGAAAATTTGGCTGGGCACGAGCAGGACGATCTTTAACTTCAGTGTGGCCGAGCGACTTACCTGCCCAGTGTAGAGTCCCATCAGGCCCTTGGCGTGAGGGGTCATGCCCAGTTCACCAAAATTCTGGGCCTCGGTTAGGTAGCCCGCCTCGGGTCCTTGATCGAGGCCTGTCCGGACGACCTGAGCGAGGCAACAATGACAACGACATGAGTAAGTAACACGTGCCCAGTAACGGGCATTCCATGGAAACAGCGCACACTGCAATGCTGGTCGATCACTGCCGCGAGGCAGATGGCAGGGGTTGGGTTGCGGAGCCCGAGGTTGAAATTCCTGACTGCGAAAATTGTACTAGACGCATCACACAAGTTGGGTTGGAAGAAATTGTTAGAATCGGAATGGATTGGCAAGTTTTGAGTTGGCTGAAAGCAAGGTCTGGTTTGAGCTGATTAGCACAGGATAGCGCCATTCAAGGTAGAATCTTGTCTAAATATTTCACATATGCACTTCACACTTCAAGAAAGTCTCTGGAACAATTCATTTACGTCACTTTCCATGACGGTAGTTATGCCTGGTGCCATGATCCCAAACTAACTCTGACTGGGACTTACGTCGATGATCTTGAGGGGTGCTGGGTAGAGACCCCGGGTGTTCTTCATCACCATTCCGTGGACCTGCTTGTAGATCTGGTTCTTGACAAAGCCAAGGCTCATGACGTAATCCGTCAGCTCTGTCAAGAGAGTGGAAAGAGCAGCTGGAAGGGTGAGCTGCAAGTTAAATTCATCGGGTCATGGCCTCTTCGGGCATTTGGCCCAAATAACCCATGTTTTTTTATTTATTTCCAGTAAGTTCCCCTGGAAGGAGAAACATACAAAGACCAACGTAAGCGGTTTGCAGGAATACCATGTAGCAAATATCGCTCTCACTTTTGTATGTGTGAGTAAACCGGATCCTTTACGAGACACACATACTCATCTTGATTCATGGTGTTACTGCAAACCACCTACCTTGAGTATACCCACTGTCAGGTTCCGTCTGTTCCCCAGAATTGATATTCCAGCTACCTCTAAAAAGTTCACTTTTCTTAACTGGTCACTCAAGATTTGAAGGTTTGCATGAATACACAAAGACCCGACTAGCGGTACGCATATGCCTTGTGTGACTGAGCGGCACGCGTTTGCATCGATGTGCATAAAAGACTCCGGCTGTAACACCATGCACGAACCAGGCATTAGGAGAGTCTCACTCGAATGGGCCCCAAGTAGTCACATCAGTCGGGCATGCTTATTTGTGGGTCCCAAGTAGTCACATCAGTCGGCATCAGCTTATTTGTTGGTGTATTACCGCAGAGCATCCAAAGCATTACCATCAGTCGACTGTAAGCGATGCTGTCACACTTGCACCATGTTGGTCTTTGCATGCTTTGCAATACCCATTGCTTTGCATTCCAACTGTGAAAGACCTATTTTGTCAATTTTTTTGTAAAACCTAGACCTGAACTTTCTTCAGCATCACTGCAGTGCGTTTTTTCAAGCACCGAGACCTGAGAGGTTTGACACTGATTTCATGAACATCGGAGATGCCATTCTCGTACAACGCCCGTTTTTCTGAGACAGGTCAGCTAAAAAATCCACAGTATTTCCATTGCGTGCTCCATGCCTGTGGGGCTGACGCATTTAAGGTTGTGAACTTCAAATGACCATTACAGCAAAACTCTAGCTCATATTGAATTGAAACTTCACGTAAGTACAGATAATGTATGCCTTAACATCCATGCTAAATTTAACCACAATAGGGCATGTGACGGTTGAGTTCCGGGGGGGATCTGCGGGATTGTCCTAAATAGCTTGGCTCTTGGAGACTTAAAATCACCTTTTTGCCACAAACACTTCTCCCTGATCACTTACTCTGGGCAAGTCCCTTGACCTTTTCTGTCTTGAGCTTCTTGGACACAATGTCTCTGCATTGGGGGAAGTCAATGACATCAATAAACCCTTATTCCAAAATATCACACAGTTCTTCCCCCCCCCAAAAAAAAGACAAAGAAACATGACCCTTGAGGTAAAAACTAGAGTGCCCATAAACACAGTGCCATGCTAATCAAAGCACGTTCCTAATCGTGCTTTAAAGGAAAGCGCTCAGTGGGCACGAAACAGGCTTTGGCTGAAGGAAAGTTTCTTAAACAGTATTCGTACCTTCGACACAATATGAAACTTAACTGTCATAGGCTGAAATTTTGTTCCGTCTCTCGCTGGGAAGCTTCCATGCTCGGAAAGCTTGTTTTTCTGGGCTCCACGCTTTCAAAGCGCGTGCACAGAATCAACTTTTTATTTTCAAGATTAGACCCAAAAAAGTGTGAGTGTATACAGACTTGGCCGCATCCACTGCAACGTCTTCCAGATAGTCCAGCGTTCTCTCCCGTGGCGACTTCAAACCGGGACCTGTCAAAGGGGGTGGACCGGTGAAGATTTTTGTGAAAGTGAACGGAGTGTCGCATTCCGACCAAGACAAACCAACACTGAATGGCTGTTGATGTCAACGCGACGGTGACAAGCAGGGGGCCAGTGTCCCCCTCTCTCCCCGGGAAAGGGTTCAATAATGGGGCGAGTCTTAATGGATTGGCCGACGAAGGCTTTTAATGGCTGATCTAACAATTGGCTCCCCTTCCACTTTGAGAATCCTTCTGCCGTCAGTGTGTGAACCACGCGCCGAAGGAGGGCTACCACAGTTTAAAGTCTCCTCTCTGGGACGAGCAACTATTAAGAAATCATCGTACAAATGTACATCTCCCAGAACCAAAACAAATTCAATCTCCTAAAAAGTCCTTTTGAGAAGAAATCTCGGTAACTACCGACTTACTGGAGCCATCTCTCCCAGGGTAACAAAACCAGACAACTTTAAAAAAACAAAATGGCATAATTCTTGGGTGGGGGGGGTGGGGAGAATTTGCAAATCAGACACGAAATTATCCACGCACCTAGTGGTTCCACAAGCCGATCTACCAGACCCATGGATTTCGACTTCCTTGCCGGAATATTCTTGCCCGTCAGCATCATATCAAAGGCACTAGGAACGCCCACCTAGGAGGACAAAAAAGTCTCATTGGAAAATACAATCTTTGGAATCCAAACTTTGGCTGTCTGCGCAAGCTGGAGGTCGGTGTTTGTAAACAAAAGGAAAGAGGTCTTCCTAATTGTTGTCTCAAGAGAGTGAGCCCCCCCCCTTTTTTTTACCAGCTTGGGTAGTCTCTGCGTCCCGCCGGCCCCGGGCAGCAAGCCTAGTAACACCTCTGGAGCAGCTAATACGGTCTTCTTGTCGTTCACGGCAATTCGGTAATGGCAACTCATCGCAACCTGGACGGGGGAACGCAAGAGAGCATAACATGACACACTTCAGCACGGCCTCAGCTTCGACATCATACAAACTGCAAGATTTGCGATTGAGATCCGCCATCCTGAAGATCAGCACTGGGTACCCAATGCTGCACGACTACCAGCCTAAACAGTACAATCTATTTGTCCCATCTCAGAATACTTTAAATGCCGTTTGAACAGTAAAAATTCCTTATTTATCACATGCATTAAAAACCTTGTAAAAACCTTGGAAAATGGCCGAAAAAGTTTTCTGCCTGTCAATCTTTCTCAGAGAGGACAAAAAACATACTGTACATTAGGCTCTATACATTTTATACTGTATTGTCGCGTTTCCTAATATTGGGATTAATTAATACTGGGGTTAACAATTAAAATCACGGCAGGAAGCAAGACTTTCAGGTGACAGTTAGACTCTGGTTCATTCACAACTTCTTCCTTTGGTTATGCACAGTACAATAAGTAGCAAAGGTGGCATCCATTGATTCATGGCAGCGTTCAGTACTGCAACTAAGGTTTAAGAGTATCGGACTACAAGTATTTACTACCAGGCAAGGCAAGTTTGTCAACCGACCAAGGGGTGGAAGTTCCGTCAGACGGGCTGACCGCATGGGGAGTGGGCCGCTAAAGGCTCTGCCAGCCACGCAGCTAAGTGTGCCTGAACAGATAGGGCTACTACCTCGAACAGCACAACACTCTGTTACCCATAACATGTATCGGATTGCACAACAATTCGTGGTCAGTGTCGCACGACAGCGAGTGGTCAGGCCAGGCAGCAAGACGGCAAGAGTTGGGAAATCCTTGCCTTTTATAGAGAATTCGGGCTTCTCGTATCATGAATATACATGTAACTCTTTAGAGGAATAACCAATGAGGACTACCCTGCCGCTGTCTCTAAGCAGACTGTGTGCAAATACAGCATACGTAATGCGAAAGGATGCAACGCTGGTGCAGGTCAGCCGCAAGCAGGCTGGCTGCAGTGCGCGACGGAAGTGTCTCCCGCCCGCGTGGCAGGAGGGCGGGGCAAGAGCACAGCGGCAACACGCAGGGCAGGTCAATCACTATGCACATTCATGTATGGTCACAAGGGTCAAATGTGATGCACAACTCTGGCAGTCATAGAGATATGCAACAGTATTTTTATCTTCCATCTGGGCAACCTTGTTTGTCCAAAATCTGCTGCGGACGACATTACAGCAGAGAGTGACCAAGCCGTGCCTGAATCAGTCGTCTAAGGCTACGTCTATGTCTCCACCAGTTGTAAACACAGACAGCAGGTGCTGACAACGGCCGCAGCCATAACTCTAGAGGCCCGCTTTGAACGCGGCCTTCAAACTGTCTACCGAGACCACGGTGGCAGCTGGACAAAAAGGCAATAGACTCCCTACCTCCAGTCCTCCTCCCAGGCACGATCCCATGATGGCTGCCACCACCGGCTTGGAGCTGGACTCCACCCTGGCCAGCAGCTTCTGGCCGCTGGTCGATAACTCCGTAATCTGGACGGAGAAAAAAAAGAGCCACGTAAGCACTCTCGCTGATAGGTGGCAGAGAGGCTACAACATGTAGGTCGACGAGTGCCATGCCATACGCACATGGATAAAAAATGTACGGTGCCGGCAAGGTCAAACGCCCCCATTGGGTAACAAAGCACCCACTAAACACTGGTAACCGTGTTAAAAACGGCACGACTTCTGTGTGGTTTTTCCCTCAAGATTTGGACGGTTGCCATGTACAGTGCACGTAACTGCTGTGACTGTCAATCTTTGGAAAGAGTGAAGCTGGAAAATGAATGCCAAGAAAAGTGGCAAGGGGCAAGCAGGACTGATAAGTTTTTCCCACAGATCTTCCAGTTGGAAGAATAGAACCGCGAGTTTTACAGGGGAGGGGCAGATGGGAGGGCAATGGATGAAACTTAGACTGACCTCTTCAGCTGTCTTGCAGGCAGCTAGCATGCTGTGGAAATGAATTTGAAATTAGACTTTTATTGAACTGGTAACCGTGTTAAAAAGACGTACAGTGTGCAGGGAGTTATGGAGGCGGGAACCACTGTAATTAGAAAATATCACACAGTTTTTGAAACAGATCAGCGGCTTGAGAGATATATGTACCCGTGTTGTGACGTGAACAAAAAGCATGTATGCTGATTTCTGCTACAAACCCAAGTACTGGGAAATATTTCTACATTGCTTGCATACCCGACTTGTCTGAGGCGTGCTGGATGCTCATGGAATAATCTTCCTTCCAATTCAAAATCAATGCCGAGCACTGTAGGCGTGGCTCCTACATGTACAACAGGCTACAACAGAGAAAAGGCTGAGCCGACTGCCTGGTTCCCACCTCCATTACTTCATGTACACATATATATGAAGTCAGACATGATGGTTTTGAAGACACAAGGGAGGAAACCGGGAACCAGTTTACCCATCTGCACTGGTAAACCGCACTTGGAGTAAATGAGGAATGGCACGTGTGAACCAGTGATTTTAAAATGCCAGCTGGTGGTATCGGCCCGAAGGAAAGCTGAGTATGGGCAAGAGGGCACCCTCGCTCGTTCATGCATCAAGCCAATAGCAACTGATACGCGTCCACTTTATGTACACGCACTTTGGAATAAAAAAAAAAAATTTAAAAATTGACTAACACACTGGTTTTTATTGATCAAATTTGGTTTGCGATATGAGAAATACATGTCTCCTATGGGTACTCCATTCCAGCTTATGGAAATAAACCTGTATTTCTTTAACATAAGCTAGATTACTACAAGGAAATCCCATCTGCAAAACGAGACTTTTTTTTTCTCCCTTACTTGATATCAGCACCAGCGATGAAGCAGTCCGGCTTGGAGGAGATGAGAACCGCCCCACTGACGGCGTCGTTCTGCCAAATCTCTTGCATCACGCCTTCGATCTCGCTGTTGAACTCTCTGGACAAGGTGTTGACCTGATCCGTTGTGAATAAGCGAACATGTCACATGATTGAGGCTATAAAATCGCTTGAACGCCAAGTCTAGTGTTAACCACTGGATCCAAAAACTTGCAGAGGATGCGAGAGTACGTTTAACCACATTCATTTTCCAGCACTCTGCAGACCCTCCAAGCCCTGCACAAAGTGGGTCACTGCCTCACTGTGTTTACGCAAAGTCAACAATAACAGCATTCGCTACAAGTTGCGCCATTCTACAAGGCACTGAACCATCCTACCTGGCCCTCTGTACCAGGGGACAACAGTTGTACACTGAAAGTGCACGGACAAAAAAACAAGAAAAAAGCAGAGCTTTGAGAAGAAATCAAATGCAGTCGATAAAAAAGATGAGAGACCAACATTTCCTCAACAATTTTGAATTTTTTTTTTAGTCATTAAACCTTTCCTAAATCATTCCCTGGGGCAGCTGTTCATATAAATAAGAACTGTTGCCAAGTACGTCCCTAACCCCTCGGGTGTTATGCAAAATCACATTGAAATTGGGGGATTGAGGAGTGTAAGGGGAACTGTTTTGTGCATCCGCGTCATTGGTGACACTTCGTTGACCCGACATCCACCTGTCAGTTCCCTGGGGAACAAACCCTGATGACGATATGCATGCGTGAGAGCTGATGTCGCTGGCCTCACCTTGGAGTCAGGCGAGTTCATCCGTATGACAGCGATGCCGTCCTTGACGTCGTAGCTGACATGCTTGTTGGCTGCAAAAGGGAACAAAGAAAAAAAAATAAAATTGGAAATCATCAAAACCCGACACGGATGCGGTGAACCTTATCGTGCAGAATTCAACATGAACCCAACATCTGGCACCTGCAGGTGTAAGGGAAAGAGAGGGTCTGGAGAGGGTAAATACATGGGCATCGCCGAAGGGGTTAGGGGGACAAAAGAGAATGAATAAAATGGAGAAAGGAGAAAAGAAAAAAAGGGAGAAAAACCAAAAAAAAAATGGAATACAGTCGATAAAAATCAAGGGTTAAAAATTACTTAATAATACCCAAAAGTTCCTCCCACCTCCACCATTAAAGGATCCAGGAAATGAATTTATCTTAGAAACACTCTTTGTGTATCTCTGTACCGTTCTGCAATGCATGAAGACAGTTGGACTGTTTTTTTGCGTTACGGGGAACTGAAAAGTGCACTTTTTAAACATTCAAACTTGACCAAGGCATTTCTGGACAAGTGAGGGTGCTTTTGCTTTGATGTGAATCCAGGAAGACATGGTTCAGGTTGCATGTTTTCATGTTCATACTGTCAACTCCATATTTGCTATCTGAAAACATTTCTGTGAAAAGGTCGCTTGCTGGCTTATTGCCATATACTTACACAACAATAAAATGTCAAAGGAAATGAAATCTACGACAGCAGTGTTTAAAAAAACTAGAAATTTTCTGTGCACAAATCGATGCAACATTGAGATTCAGTGCCTTGGATGACCTCGTAGTTTTCCTTATGAATATGCAAATTCGCATTAGCATAAAAACAAAAAATGCTCCAAAACACGGGTTAAAATTGCAGCACAAATATTTCAAATAAGGTTAATTGAAACCCAATGCAGTAATTTCGAGGGTTTTGGTCAAATATTTCCATATCATGGTCCCTTTAACAGGTTTTCAGTTCATCACTGCTGAGTGCTCTGCCAGGTTCAAAATATTACAATCCCCTGGAAAGAACTCCTGGTGACACCCATAGGCGCATAGTCTCTATTCCAGCCATCTCTTTGTCTCTCAACTCAGAAGAAAGAAACACCTCAAATTACCTGCATACGTTGACGACACTGAAAAATATCTTGGCAAAGCCATGCTGTGGGAACCTGTTGAGAAAACAGTTTTGAAAAAAGGGGTAACAACGGTTCTCCGCTCTCGCTGCATAACAATATCTACCGGTACATGTGTGCATGTAATGAACATGACTAATATGGACATAAAGAAGTACTGTCCGTTGAGAATGTGTGAGGAAAAGCTTGACTAATGCCTATCCTGACCTTGTTAGAGTATGTACATGCAAGAATATATGAACGCATGCGTAGAATAACGTCTTTTAAAGAGACTGAATGCAGCCACCTTAAAAGCTCATTCACTGATAATTTCACTGTTCACAAAAAATCCCGAAGCTGAAAAAATGCCCATTATTATTATTATATTGGTTTTATGTAAATACTGGGTCGGCAGCAGGAAAGTCACTGAAGGGACCAGTTGACAATAAACTTTCAAAAATCTACCATTTTAAACTTTTAAAATTCATCAATATGAACATTTGCAGAAAAAAATAAATCTCTCACAATAATGTTGAAAATCGTAACATCAAATTTTACACGATAAGATAAATTTTAACAAGAAATATCAAAACAATGTTACAATAAGAACTATACCTACAATAAACCTGTACATGTACATTCACACTGAAATTTATGTCTGAGATCATTTTGTGGAAAATAAAATTAACGAAAAAAAAAGGATAAAAACAAAACAAAATGCCCTCAAAGATCCACCTACAATGTAAATGGGGAAGTGCACTTTGATTTGTAAAAAAAAAAAAAAATGAAATTCACAACCCTCTCTGCAAAAAACACCCAAATCTCTTCTGAAGAATAAAGCACAACATTTTGCTGTAAACATGTACACAGACACTCTACAATCTACATGTACATGCATGTCTTTCCAGAAAACCTCCTTCCAATAAGCCCTTCCCTTCACTGATTACACGGCCCCTTACTTAACCCAACAAAACCCTACAGAGCCAATCAAGTGTGGAGGCTGGCGACTCCACACTCAAGCACAAAACCTATTACAATCCTGTTACGAGATGCTGTTACAGTGGACACTGTTATTACTCAATGACCAATATCAGAGCTAAAATGTACACTGTACATGTACAGTGTGCATGTGCATGAAGGGCCTGATCCGTACACCCACAATGCCATACACACACATGTACAGGTACAGTGTATATGTACATGTACATACAGTACATTGTGTAACTTGTACATGCACAGTACATGCACAATGTAAGCCTTGGCCTTCAGTGCTTGCTTGTCTGCATAACATCTGCCTTCAGTGACTGTAAAGCCAGGGGGATCAAAACCCGACAGACACTGTGCACACAGGGCAAAGGGTAAACTCATGTGGTGAAGCAGTAGGGTTTAGCGTACACTGTTGGAGCATGTTGTGGCTGAGTGTGGGTTCTCACAAAGGCTCTGCTGTGCAGTGAAGCCTGTGTATTGGGGAGTGAAGTGAAGTGGACAATTGCTGATGCAGCAGCTGGACAGCACGGTTCAGTTCCGACCCTCCTGTCTGGGTTGTGGTTGTGAAGTTACAGGTAGGCCTAGTAGAAGTACAATACAGTACCGGTACACGCTGCCCTGACTGCCCACTGACCGTCATCACTGCATGCACCAGCAGGCAAATTTAGACTTAACAGACTAATAACAGCAATAAGGGCCTAGCATGATTGGAAAACTGAAGGAAGAAAAATTGTGTAAGTCACACTTGCAGCGTATCAACCCTCTGGTAAAGTAATGTGTGAGTTCGTGATTAGAGAAAACTTCCTGTTTTGTCAGACAATTCAACTGCATAATTATAGCTGTAGAAAGGTACATGTACGTGTATGTTGCTCTGGCTTGGCTTATTGTAAACCTTTGTTTGGTCTCTTTCGCCATATGAAATAATAAATCCTTCGTTTCCAAACTCTGCCTACCGTTTTGCATGGACAGCAGAAATTTGCAGAAAGGTCAGCTTTGGTTTGCCCACCGGCTTATTTGCCTTAAAGCTCAAAGAAGCACCGCTGTGTCTGCTGAACAAGGCTCCAACCACAAAGCTGGTTTGTAGCTCTATGCTCCAACTGTCCCTCACTGGAATATCAAATTGCACCTCTGAGCTGCCCAACAACTGTGCCTCTGTTTCTTGTGCATAATTGTGCAGTAAACCAAACTCAGTGAAGAGGACTGCACAAAAGACCCTGGGTCATTTTGTGCTGGCAACCTACTGTGTACACACTGAACCTGTGCATGTTTGTGTTCCACATAGAAAACACATGCAAGAAAGTGACTGTGGGCGCTCGTGCATATTTGTGCTGCAAAACCGAAGGAGGGTTAAACTGCAAACTTGCTGCTTTGGTGTAAAAAAAAAAGGAGCAGAGGTTCGTGTATTTTTACATCTATTTACTTTTTTAAGCATGTTCAGTAGTGTTTCGACCATGGTTTGAAATATTTTTTTTTCACACTCGGAATTATTTTCTAGAAACGAATCCTTGACCCAGCCAGAGACAGATCTGCAAGAAATGGTCCATAAACACCTTGAAGAGGCCACAGTGTTGTGGGCACGTCCATGTACTCAAGATTCTGAGTCAAAGGAGCTTTAGGCCAAAAAAAAGTGTCTCCTGTTTCTGGTCAGTGTGTGTGTCGCCGTAGACCTGCGTATAAAAACGATGTCGAAAAGCTGCCAGACTTGCTTGATGGATTGGAATCCCGCTGCTGCACAATTTAACATGTTTTAGACGGGGTACGGTTGAATAATAGGCACAGTGAAGGAGTCCTTCTAGGCCCCTACACATTTAGTCAGGCACTCTTTTTTGGATGTGATTCCTGTATTGTTTATTTACATCTGGGAACCACAGAAACAAGTGGTCTTATGTCCTGTGTACAACTACAAGCTGAAAATGCTTTTTAACGGTCGATAGTGAGGGCGCCTGTCTATTTCAGTGTTGGTAGTGGCGGTACATATGTACAAGCACATGTCCATACATGTACATGTCCATACATGTGTACATCATTTCTAGGAAATAAAGTGAGGGCAAAAAAAAAAAAAGCTGTGTTGCTGCACCACTTTGGAGCCAGCCCCTGACCAGAAACCGGAGACCTTTTTTGGCCTTTTCTAGCTGTGAAAATACGGTTGAGGAGTGGACCACGCTTGCCATCTGCTTGTGGTCAATGGCAGGCAAATGGTTTTTGAGAAGGTCAGGCAAATAGTTTTTGAGAAGGTCAGCTAACCTTACTCTGCCTGTCAGTAAAACGTGAAACACTGTGACAAACAAACAGAAAATCTGACAGGCTTTACAGTCCAATCTCCTTGTAACAAAGTTGCAGGAAACATACAAGTTAATTTGATCACCATGGCTTTGTCATAAGAGTACAGCGTGGAAAAACAGAGAAAGAAAAAAAAAATTAAAGACATTGGAATTCTCAGAATATGTTCTTTATGGCAGAATTTTTAGTAACAGTGTTCTTTAAAACGAGACTCAAATGGTGTTTCACAGAGATTTTTCTCTGGTTTGTTTATCTTTTGGAATTAAAAAAAAAAGAAAAAGAAATATTTTTGGTACGTACATGTATGACATTCAAATGTCTGGTAAAAAAACTCCACATTTTTGAATGCATGGTAGGAGACAAGAAAAATTGAAGTTACTGCGCACAGCAAAAATACATCAATGATGGTAGAGTGTGAAGTAAAATGATTTTGAATAATCAAAGTAAAACTTGCTAAAGTATCCCCCGTACTTAATAAAATCTTCAATGTCTGACCAAGTTCAAACCATTGCCCTCCCCAGAAAGAAATGATTATCTTTATTTTGGCTGATATAAACAAAGAAGTCCAGCAACATTTCAGAAAGTACTAGTAACAAACAATATTTGAAAAGTGGGGTGTTTAGAATAGTTTCCACAATGTACATCTTTTTGTTCTTTTTTTTTACCATGATCTGTAAAATGTCAATGTATAGTACATGTACATGTATTCATATCATTTTATATTACAGGCAGATGTTCAGAAGAGAAAGTGGACAGTGGAAAAGAAGAGACCATATGACGATGCCCACCTATTGCTTTTCCATGTGGGATGCCTGATCACTGAACTTGGTACCACTACCTCCATCTTAAGCATGACCCCAAGTCATATCTAAGCCTCACTGTCTTCCATGTCCTTACAGCCAATCGTGGCCATCAGCGATCTGGCAGAAGCTTTGCAACTATACCAGGAAACTAGCAGTTAGTTGAGCTACCTGGCCAAGCTGACACTGCCACGCAGTAGTGCTGTTGTCCATCAAGCGAAGCTTCCCATCTGTGCTGGAGCTTCCCATTTGTGCCAAGTGACTCAATAATTTGCTGCATCATCATGGACAGCCTGACCCCAGTGCTCGTTCAAGGCACAGACCAGATTGGTGATGCGGCCCCTGACCAGGATCGTGATCTTCCCAGTGGCACAGCCACAAGGACAGAGGCGGTTGAATCGACGGGTCTTGCCACAAGGTCATTCGCGTTCCCGGCCCTTGATCCCGGCCCAAGCAGCTCGGGCTTACCCTCTGGCTCCCAATTTGACTACTTCTACTTGGATGACATCAAACAGGAACAACTGGATTCTGATGAGTTTGAGCAGGAGGAAATAGACTATGAGGAGGATGGCGAGGAGGGCAGTGGTGACTTTTCAGAAGAGAGTGACTTCTCTCCAACACAATCAGAGGAGGAATCTTCCGATTCCTCATTTGGTGAGGCGCCTCCGGCCAAGAGGGCACGCAAGCAACAGCCACTGAAAAAGAAGCAAAACTCGGTGAGTGTTGCAAACTGGCTCCAGGGTGGTGCAAGTCACTCACGGGACGGTCGCGGCTGGACCAGAGACCTAAAGAATGTACCTGTGCACGATTTCGAAGGTTGCCTGCCATATGGTCCGACCATGGAGCGGCCGCCAGACGATAGCCCCCTGGCCTACTTCGTGAGCTTCTTTCCAATGTCCCTCTTCTCCCAGATTGCACGGTACACTAACATAGCTGGCCAGTCCAACCCAAACTTCAGCAAGAACACCACCCCGGCAGAGATCAAAGCCTGGGTGGGGATCCGCATGATCCAAGGTGTGCACTCCAACATCAACAATGATGATGATTGGTCCACCCATCCCGGACTGAGAAATAACCTGGTGGCATCCACGATGACTCGGGCAAGATTCAACATAATCTCAGAGCACCTGGCCTGCACCAATCCGATCAAACTGGCCCAGAAAGCCCAGGGCCAGAAAGACAGCCTGCTTGCCCCGGTCAAGCTCATCTGGAATACCGTCAACAAAGCTTGCAGGGCCAACTACAACCCAAGAAGGGAGCTCTGCCTGGATGAGGTACTGATCAAGACTAACTGTAGGAAGCCTTTCTTTCCCCAACGCCAAGCCGAGTTGGGTTCCAACATCTACGCGGTCTGCGAGTCCAGAACAGGATACCTTCTGCGCATGATGGCGCATTCGGAGTCGGGCCACAAACGGCTGGAGGTCCCTCTCCAGATAATGCAGCCCTTCCTGGGACGGTACCATCAGCTGTTCTGCAGAACACAGTACACATCCACCACCCTTGCAAAAGACCTGCTGGTGAACCAGACGTACCTCTGTGGCACTGTGAGCCTGTCGTCTAAGGGCTTGCCGGATGACTGTTACACCCGGAAGAACAAAAGCAGCATAATGAAAATGATGCTGAAAGCTCCCCGAGGCACCACCCACACCTGGCAACAGGGGCAGATGACAATGGTTGTCTACCGAGATGTAAAGGTGATGCCGCTCCTCTCCACGTGCCACCAGGGGAAGCGGGACCCGCTGAAGGATTTCATCACGCGAAACGTCAGGAAGAAAGGCACGTCGGAGGTCACATCCACAAGCATCCCAGCCCCCACCCAACTCATCGATTTCATGAAGTTCAAAAGCGGGGTGGAGCACTCCAATCAGCTGCGCTCCTACCAGTCTTGCAACCGACACTTCAGGGCCTGGAAGAAGGTCTTCTTTCTCCTCATCGACGTTGCTCGCGTGAACGCCTGGATCTGCTACAAGGCCCTCACCGAGGGCTCGCTGAGCATGCCGCTCAACCACCGGATGTTCACTGTCAACATCGCCACGGCTCTCATTGCTGGCTTTGCCGAGGGAACGCCAGCGTACCAGGCTGACGTGCCACCAGTTCCAGCCATCAATGGTCCAAACCATGTTTGCATCCGGATGAAGGTCAAGAACCCTAAGACGTGCGTCCAGTGTCGCAGGACTGGGCGCAAGACCAAAAACGGGAACTCCATCATGACGCGCACGGGCTGTGTCAGCTGCAACATCCACCTGTGCAGGGGCCATTGCTTTTTGGAGTTCCACTCTGCCGCCGAGTAGGATTATTGCAACCACCTTGCCATTACATGTAGCTGAGAGAACTTTACACTGCAAACATGATCCCAGAGACCCCTTGGGATAATGAGCCAGTGTAGGTACATGTACATGTACATTTCAAAACCAGACAATGCCACTCAAGACAAAGGCTCAAGTGCGAGTTGACGCATGGCCTTTCTGGCACATACATGTATATGTACGTTGTTTGTGCATACCGCTGTTCTTGAATGACATGAGATGCGCTTACATGTATTTTGGGCATGCAGAGGCATTTTGGAATACCAAACTGGCTTGTAGGTGCCGTAGGTGTAGCTCACTATGGCGGTGCACCGCAGCAGTGCACAGGTTTCTCTGCAGACAAATAACCCTTGCTCTTCAACGTACATGTACATGTATTGAAATGCTCTGGAAGCTACCTGTACATTAAGGCAACGGTAAGAGGCCAACCTTTCAGCTGACAGACCAATGAAGATGTCGCCCCCCCCCAAAAAAAGAGAGATGTAATTGTAAACACTATTGTTGACTCTAAAGCCAAATGGATCATTTTCGCATCAAACTGTGTACTCGTATTTTCCTGGTGGTTTAAATCATAAATGATTTTTTTTGGAAGAAATTCTTTGGTTTCCACAAAGGCATTGGTGCTTGACTATTAGGAATAGGAATGTGTAAAGAGACAGGACAACATCCTTATGCTGAAACGACAACTTTTCTTCCTTTTGCTTTGAACTGTTAGTCTGATACATCCGGTACCAGTAGATTATGTACATGTACATGTATGCTTGCTTTGTAAGGTCTAGAACAACTTCAATCTGTTTAATATTAACATAATAAAATTGCTATTTTTAGCCCTAACCCCCCAAGGGTTGCTGGCCCTAACCTTCCCCATTCACACAAAGTTGCACAGAGGGTGTTGGACTTTGTTTTTCTGAGGTATGCCAAACCCAATGCAAAAGCCAGCTGTTATGGGCCTACCAGACCTATCCCCACAGAATTCAACACTTAAACTACTGTTTAATTCTGTGTGATTGGGGAAGGTTAGGGTTAAAGTGCAAGTCACACTATATGTATTTAAAAGGAAAAAAAAAGCACCTGCTTACTTTGGCTAAAAACCCTGCCAGACACATCAGTCTGCATCATTTATCAAAGTGGCTTGCTGGCCCACTGTAACAAGATCCAATGGGTCAACTCCAAGGCCAAACAGCCTGGAATCTGTGGTTGCCAGTCACTACGAGATCCAATTCAGTGATGTACATGTACATGTAGCATGTAGTTTGTTCTGCTGCCGTTGACTGCACAGGGTTAAATTACGACAGACTTCAATGACAGAGGCTCCAGTTAAGCAAATTCTTCCGTTCAGTTTCTCACTGGTTGCACCGCCGAACTGGACATTATTGTACAGAGGCCTTGGCAAATTCATCAAGTTTTGCAGGTGGGATTAATTTTGTAACACTAATTTGATAAAGTAAAATAAAGATTTTCCTTAGTTCTACTTTATGTACCATACATGTAAAACTATTTTTTTTGGTAAACATTTAGTTGATTTAACATTGTTCATGTGGACCTCACTGCTGGGAGAGGGGCACATATATGCAACTACATGTACACGTAGTAACTCAGAAAATGACAGGAAATTCACAACTGCACAAGATTTCACACTTGGAATGTTTTTCAATTTGTGATGGCAAACGTGGGAAGTAAGAAGTCTGGAAACCAGCTTATCCAGGAAAAAGCTGCATGCCTGTTAAGTACTGTTACATGTAGAACTCCCTCAATGTACATGTGTATGTGAACAGTTTGACTCATAAAAAAGTCAATGTCAAAGAAAGTCTGTACATTGTGTTACACCGCACCGGCGCACTCCTTACAATGTTTGTTTTTTGGGGATGTACCTGTAATCTAATCGCTCATGCCAATGTGTTGGAGTGACAGCATGCACGATTAATGCTGTTCTCCAAGCTCAAGCTTTCCAACTTGGTGGGGACTGGTGAGCATACCGAAATGGAGAGGGCAGGGCAGGACAAAGCCTTAACACGGTAGTCAAGTACTTTTGAGAAAGTTCTCTGCCAAATACTTGACTAGCTAAGAGGGAACAAAGCTGAAGCACATGGGCATTTGATGGTACATGTACATGCACAGAGGTAAGATTACAAAGTAAACTGAGGATGTCAGACTATCACTGTTTAATAAAAATTAAGTTTTTCAAACAAAAGTACTAGGAAAGTACTCAATTGAGTACTTTACTTCTTAAAGCCTAAGTTTTATAACACTGGGAGTGTTTATAGTCTTACATGTACCTTTGGGGTGTTACCATCAAAGACCTACGTACACGTACATGTATGTCCAGTTCAATATATGGCAGAGCACGGTGGTTCCCCGGAAAGTACTCAACTACAAGACTGGAAGTATGGTGATATATAACAGACATGCACATGTACTACTGAAATCTTGGCACGTTTTTAAATTACTGTACATACAGTACTTGTACATGGATGTGCTGTTTAATCACAAGCTTTTCTTGTTTTTTGGCAACACAGAATTAGAACACAATTCACATCAGATGTTCACTTACTGTGTACGTACCGTAAGCACCAAAGCAACCCTTTTCCCAGGGCAAATGTTATCACAGAACTGTTCCAACAGTACCTCAGCAGCAAACAGAATGAAGCATTTTTGGTTACTCATACCCGGCACATTTGGCATGTAAAAATGTACGGGGCCTAACGTACATGTATACTGCTGCTCAAAGGGTCGTACAGGTGTTACCAAAAAAACTGCCAAATGCACATAAGATATATACATGTATAACATGCACTGATTTTATGCAGGTATCTACATGTAAATGAACCAATACAAGACAGGTTGGTATCAGTAGGACCATGGAGGTAGGAAAACATCAGTTGATTTAACATGATTAATATGGCTGCCTCGGCATTGGAAAATCTGGTAAAGAATGTGGTAATTCTCTCAAAAAAATTGCTGCTCAAAATTCCTAACTAATAAAAGTAGCCGGCATGCAACTTTGACAACACAAAAAAATGATGAAACTCCAGTATTTTCAACATTTTGTACAGTGTTTTTCAATCCCTAATGGGACCAGTGTGAAGTGAAAAATGAGGGAATCAGCTGATCCGAAGAAAAGTTGCCTGAAGTAGGGGGACCACTTCAGAAGATTGGAAAAGATGGCCAAGGTCACTTAAGGCAGCAAAGGGTACAATATATCCACATCTTTACAAAATTATTGATATGTAAATTTGTGTTGCAAATACACAATGTACACACATACATACATGTAAATGATAAAACCAAGAATGAATTCATACAGTGTAGATGTTTCACATTACTAGTTAGCTGACGATACTCTGCCCATGCTTGTAACTAATCTTTTCACTTTAGATTATGATACACAGTCCACGTTTTCCCCACTCTGGACGAATTTTCGCTGGACTTGCAGCATTTACACAGACTGACTGTAGCCTGTATCTACAGAGTTGTACACTTAGCTGAGCCCTGTCTACGGGTCTAGGTCCTACGGCTATCATTACCAGTAACTATAATAGTATGTAGGCCTGTTCAGCGCAATCTTTGAAAGTGTGCAAATTCTAAATGTACGCAGCTTGTGCATTTTTCCTTGAGCAATTTTAATTAGGTTGCACATATTTGACATCTGCACACGTGCCCAATTTTTGTGCCTCGAACTGTGCTGTTTGAAAGGGAGTCATGATGGTTGGTGTTTGACCGGGCCCGGCCGTGGCAGGCACTCAGGCAGCTGACGGCACAGGGATTCCCATTCCCTTCAAGGTCTCTAGCTATCTGGCACCAGTGAAGCTGGGAAACTGTTGCCCTGAGTCAAGGCTAGGTTTCCAGCACAAATTAGTAATTTTTGGGGTCATTTCAAAATCCTTATTTTCCCTGATTGCTATTGATTTTGTCTGGGATCCTACTTTTAATTTTATTGCAGATATATTTCTAATACATAACAAACGGCTCTAAGAATATTCCGAATTAAATGTCAACGGGGGAATTATTTTCTCTCTCACAAGGAATTTCTTTAAGAGCCTCAGAAGGAAGAAACGTCTGCATGAAATGTCGACAGGGGAATTTAATTGCTCTCACATTGGCAATATTCATCCAAATGCTTGAATTTCTTGTGGCCGTGCCCCAGCCCCATAACATAAGTACATGCCAGGCTGTATATCACATGAAACAGACCCGACAAAAATCATGCAAAATTTGAAGTTGAATGATGTCACTGTTAGTCTCTCACACACGAATGTTGCCCGTGGTTCATGTATCCACGCAGTTTTTATCGCTGTGCGCGATGTTTGCGGCAATATCTGTGGTTGCGCAAAATTTAAAATTACGCACACAAATTTTAAATTTGCACACTTTCACCACGTTCACAGAAAGCGCTCAACCGGCCCAACAGTAAACAGTCTAGGCCCAAGTAAATTCAGGCCTAACCCTCCTTTGCAAAGATGCATTGTCAACACAGTTGTCCTAATCATCAATCAAAATCAGTCAAGTGGCATATATGTCTATGTAGGCCGCCTACACTGCAGGCTACAGACGTAGACAGCACAGGAGAAGTGGAACTGGCAGGAATATTTGACTGTAAAATTGACGATTAGGCCTACAGCAGCAAAAGGAGGGTTCAGACATGTCAGACGGGTCGGAGCATAGAAACCCACTGGTAGAGACTTCCACTGTACCAGTTGCGAAGTCTAATAACAATCCAGCAAACAGGGCAAAATTAGCATTTTAACAAAAATAAATGGATCCAGTTGCGAAACAGAAATTCACACTGAGGGCGATATTCGAACATGACAAAGTGCACGCATAATGTTGTTGAACTACACACGAACGTGAAGAAACGTCTGAACTTGTGCGGGCTACCGGCAATTTTTGCCCTAAATTATTTCTGCACCACGCAACAGGAAATGCTCTTATGTGGTGTTATCAGTTTAATACTGTACCTTACTTAAATTGTATAAATTTAATCTGTTTTACAAACCTGCAGTATACGTAAAATTTGTCCGAGAAACTGCTCTCAGAGCTCCGAATACTCGTGTGGCCGCCATACTCGCTAGCCGCTGCATGCAGTCAATGATGATTGACCTTTGACCGCCGATCTTCGAACATGCATGAATACGCACGAGTACAGTTGGCAGGAAACTTCACATTTTCCCGTTTAAAATTTCCTGCACGATAAAATCGTTTCGTTATTTCAAGTCCCTCAAACCTCCATTCTGTTAAAAGAAAAATTACAAATTGCATTTTGTCCAAACTTTTCTTGGAAACAATTTGAGATTAGTAAGTAAATTAATAATTTCTCGTCACGATTAAGAAAAGCAGACTATTGAACAAGTCTAATTATTAATCGACGTCGCGCATAATGTTCCGATTCGATTGACGTGCATCATAGTTTTCATACATGTACATGTACATGTAACTGCCCTGCACTTCTGAGAATCAAGGGTACTTTTACATCCTGTAAATCTGTTTCATATGTAAGGCATCAAACATGGCTACACAACTACTTCAGAGATGTCGGACGTCCTCTTTGTACCAGCTTTTGGGATCTTCAGGTGGAATACGTGAGTAGAAAGAAGTCGGCTAGTACGGAAATGTGCCTTCACCAATTGCGATATGACTAACTTACAGTAGCTTAGGCCTGGGCCATTCGCAAGATCTTACTGCCATGACTGCGCTAGACAGCAGTTTAATTTTATGTATAAAGCAATTGTAGGACCTACATGAACACTTTTGATATAGGCCTATATATTTGTGCACTGGCACGACTGGTTGGAGTCATAAAAATAACATGATCATGTCGATCATGATCTTTGTTTGACTGAAGTAGGCCTTAGGCATGCTAGGCAGCTAAAAAAATCCCTGTTCGTGCCCTGTTAAATGCCATGCAGAGCTTACGGCGTAAAAGGCTCATTTTCTATGGTAGCGGGGCGGATGTTGGACCCCACAGTTCTGGGGGTAGTATGTACCGGTATGTACATATGAACTAGGCCCTACTGTAGGAATTATGATGTCTGCATTTTCTCTGGAAAATTGTGCCTTTTTCTGAAGGAACTGTTAATGTTTCTTTAGTGGCCTTGAGAATGATAAAGAAAGGTTTGTGGTTTGTTGGTTGTAATGTACATGTAGGCCGTAGTAATACAAAGTCACCCTGATCAAGCCCCTGCTAAAGCTCAGCAATATTCCCATCACTGCCATGCCCTTGACGGATGCCAAATATAGCATCCCCCTTCGGCCTTGCAGTATGTAGGACCCAGAAACACTATCCTAAAGGTTGCACACCACAACACGTACACATGCAAACGTAGACTGTCCTGAAACATGCTGTAAATCTAGTGACATGGTACAAAGCTCATAAAACAAACTAAGTAAACTTACCTGAACAAAAACTAAGGGGAAAAGTGATAATAACAGTCCCATTTCAAGGAGACATTTTCTCTTTTAGCGTGTCTAGGGGACTGATTTTTGTCTCCATCCAAAGGGACTTCTCTGAGTTGAAGGAGAGTGTTGTACATGTATGCCTCTATGGCATACAATTCCTTGTGCTGTTTGTGCTCAAAGTATGTGGTAAACGTTTCAAGTAATTGACAGGGATGTTGCTTTAAAGATAGCAACTGAAGACGATTAAGAACAGGCAAATAAGATGCTTCTTTTAAAGGTTTACCTTTTTTTTCCTTTGCTTGGTTTAGGTGGAGTTCAGGCCTTGAGTACCTCGGCCTCCAGAGATGTTGCTGCCAAGAGCAAGAAGACCCTGGCCAAGGAAGGCAGAAAGAACATCGTTCTCATTGAAGGAGTCAGGACGCCATTCCTCATGTCTGGCACAGAGTAGGTCATCGTTAACAAAATGAAGTGGTCTGTTACAATGGGTAGTCAACAGCAGCATCGACTGCTTGTTTAGAGACATTGCCCAGTTGAAGAATACTGGCGTTGGACCCTGTGGAGGTTGACGACCTCAGGCCCTGAGGCTATATTGCCTTGAGGATTGTTGACCTGTTAGAATTCTGTACATGTAAATTAGGCCAGCCTCTGTCATTGACAGCTGCGATGCGTTGTTGCTTTCCGCAGGGCTCCTTGCCAAAGTACCCTAAAGGATTCCGCTGTGCTTACCCGGTTTTTTCTTTTCTGCCATCTTTCAAAACCTGTATCAAATCTCCCTTAACGCTCTTTAGTCACATGGGCCAAGCGGACAGGTGTAAGGTTCACAATGTGCTGTAATTTTTCCCCGAAGCATTTTAAGAGTCTTTCAGGCTTCACTTTGGCTTTTTTACAATTCCAACAGATACAAGGATCTGTGGCCTCATGACCTTGCAAGGGGATCTCTACAGTGAGTATTTATGAGCAGTGGTCTCTTATAAATTTGCATTACAGTGTAATTGCGTCTCTGTGCTTCATAAGTACAGATGAATTGATATGAATGACTTTAATTGGACAGTACTGAGCCTTAAAATGAAGGTAGAAATAGCTAAATGTTATCTTTGTTTTTGTATCTCAGGGGCTTGCTGGACAAGACAAATATCCAAAGAGGTGGGTGTTTTCTAACTGTTAGCCCGAAAGTTTGGTTTGCTACAGTCGCTAGGCTGTGTTATGGAGATTCTGTCGATCCAGACCCTCTGAGATCCTGGAAAATTCATCAGTATGTAGAGGGTGGAGTTTACATTGTTCTGTTGCTCAGCCGTTTTAGTTATTTCTTTCCTTGGGACTCTATGACCTTTGAATAGTTGCGTACAAAGATTGTGCCGTTGGCTTTCTGCACAGCAGGGGGTTTCGAACGACACAGGAAACTTTGTAGCAAATATGCCTCTTCACTTTAGTCTTGTTCTGTTAATTTTGTTTTGGAATCAGGAAGTCATTGACCCTCTTATTGAAATATAGTTGTTTAGTTATGAATGACTGGCAACATGGTGGTTTTTTTTTTAAATGAGGAATTTGAACGGTTTGTGAGATGATTTGGTTAACTTTTCCCTACTCCAGATGCTGTGGACAACATCATCTACGGCACTGTCATCCAGGAAGTCAAGACCAGCAACATCGCCCGGGAGGCAGCTCTGGGAGCTGGGTTCTCCGACCGGATTCCGTGCCACACGGTCACCATGGCCTGCATCTCGTCGAACGTGGCCATCGCCACGGGTGAGTGGAAGGGTCTCGTGTCCAGGACAGGCACCATTATATGCTGGTTTTGTTACATCGTTCCGTTCTACACAGTTGATGGAGCTTGCATCTTGTCCAGTGTGGCTATCACCACATCTGAGTGGACTGGTAGCGCATTTAGAGATTGCTTGCTGCCATTGACGTCTTCCATCATTCATGTAACTGATCACTCGTTCTGCTTCCAGGCATTGGCATGATCAACTCGGACCAGGGTGATACTTTTGTTGCTGGCGGTGTGGAGTTCATGTCGGACGTTCCTATTCGCCATAGCAGACAGATGCGCAAGTTTATGCTGGCCCAGAACAAGGTACCTATTCAGCCGTCGTTTCTAAGACACTCGTCTTTAACTTTTCAGATTTCTAAATCTGTTTCATTTGTCCCACCTGCTTTGTTCTCAGGCCAAGACAGCCGGAGCCAAGCTGTCACTCGCTGCCAAGCACCTGAGCATGAAGGCCTTTGCACCAGAGGTTAGTCCTTGTGCAGGTCCGATGAACTGTTGACCCCGCCAATTCGTACAGTTATATACTAACAAGCCACAATGCTACATGCATGTTTAATCTGAAAATTAAATCCTTGGTAAAAGTTGGGCCACGTGCGTGGCAAACACCAATTCTGAAGAAACGTTCACTGTTTACTTCTTTTGTGCATGCGTGTTATGGATTCAAATTGTCAATGCATTTCTCTGTTGCTCTGTCAAGCGAGGGGCGCACATCAGAGCAGCTCAGTCAGTCAGTCGGCAAATTTAGTCATCAACAGAGACCACAACTTTCCCTAAATCGGAGCTGCAAGGTCTCAAAAATGACCTTGTGGCTGGGCTGCCAAGCACCTGGAAACGTGCTATCTGATCTTCCCTAGAATTCAAAGGCACAGATAGATATCAGCATGAAATATATTCAGTAGATTCGACTTGATTTCATTGGCCCCTTCAATTCACTCTGTTGTTTGTTTCATTAGCTGCCGGCAGTGGCCGAGTTCTCGACGAGCGAGACCATGGGTCATTCCGGAGACAGGCTTGCGGCTGCCTTCAATGTCTCCCGAAGGGAACAGGTAGATATTAGGAGTGATTGTCATTTTGTAGGAGGTTTGAAATCTCAGCTTCATTCCTGACTTGGGCGTCAGCTTTCCGGCTCATGAATCATGTAATTAGAGGCCAAGGTTTGAAGAAATATCATTCAAGTCACGCACTGAATGTTTGACATTGATTGCGAAGGTCTCGATGAAGTAACAATCAGAGACAAAGTGGAGGTTTGGGAAAAAAAAATGATCAGCTGAGACCGAGGCTGCACCGGAAAAGGATTTTCTCAGAGCTAGGGCTACATCAACTGTCAACGCATCTCTTCTTATCTCCAATGGAGCAAAGAAATATACCTAGCTCTAGACAACAGATTTTGGAGACAGCCTGAGAAGGTGCTATGTCCAAACTAGCAGGGCTATGTCCAACTTACATGGCTGTGACGAGGAACAGTCGTGCACCTATGAAAGCCCACTTAGTAGTGGTTTTAGCCATTTTTCCATAGACATGTGCGTTATCGCTGGTCATAGCCAGTTGATTCGGACATGGCTTTAATGACAGATAGACTGGAAATTGTATTTCATGTTTAAGGTTAGGCAACGGCCTCACAGCTCCTCACATGCCATTGGTTGCAGTGCCACTACAAGGGTTTCTGTTCCTGTCTCCTGATGGGCCGAGTCTCTCGAGAATTTTGTCGCCACGGAAAGCTGTGCCGGTGCGAATGCAGCCAAAATTCATCGGGGAGAGAAACTGTCTTGATGGAGATTGGGGAAGCCAATTGAAATTTTTGTTTTGTCTCCCGTCAGGATGAGTTCAGCCTGCGCTCCCACACCCTGGCCGACAAGGCCACCAAGGAGGGCCTGCTGGACGACCGACTGACGTACCAGGTGCCGGGCACCACCAAAGTGGTGGAACGGGATAACGGCATCCGGGTCTCGACGTTGGACCAGATGGCCAAGCTGAAGCCAGCCTTCATCCGGCCCCATGGCACTGTCACGGCCGCTAACGCATCGTTCCTTGTGAGTAAACAAATCTTTGAGAACCATTTCATCTGTCACATATTTTGAATTGACACATACCAAACCCAAATTTTGGTGTGTATTTCATGATGGACGATTGTTACAATAGCAATGACAGCCCCATGGTACAGTTGTTACAGTGTGCAACGGTGCGTCCGGGCCCAAATTGGGATTGTGATGTTGGTGTTCCTGAGCAGGACGCTTGACTGTAATTGCCACTCTCCACTCACGCAGTGGCCATGGGTGTCCCGGAGTAACGAGCAGGCTTGCTTGCTCCCATCAGTCATCAACTGACCGTACTGACAATCTTGATCATTCCCCTTGTCGTCTAGACCGATGGAGCCTCAGCCTGCCTGGTGATGACGGAAGAGAAGGCCAAGGCCATGGGTCTCAAGCCCAAGGCTTACCTCAGGGACTTTGTCTTCGTGGCGCAGGACCCGAAAGACCAACTTCTGCTTGGGTCAGTACTCAAAGCATAATGCAAAATGGGAATAGCACATGAAAGTTGCTCTGGAAATCGCCACGGTACATGAAGCTATAATTACAAACGTCTAATTGCAATCAATTTTTTTTTAATGAAAACAAATACATGGTAAGCATGCTAGTGCCACACTCTGAAAACGACTATCTTTTCAAATCTTGACTTTTACCGGCCATTCTATAAAATGTTACCAGGATGAATGCCTTGCTGAAATAGTTGTAGGAAAGCCGTTGCACTATGTTGTGCACAATTACTAGAAGTGGTTTCATGTGATGTTTGTCCGCCACCAGGCCGGCCTATGGGACACCCAAGGTTCTGGAGAAGGCGGGCCTGTCGCTGAGCGACATCGACGTGTTCGAGTACCACGAGGCGTTTGCCGGCCAGATCTTGGCCAACATGAAGGCCTTGGACTCGGACTGGTTCGCCCAGAACTACATGGGCCGCAAGGGCAAGGTGAGAATGCCGAAATCATATTGGTCCAATTCAGTCAGCCTGGTGAGCGAAATTGAGTAGTCATAGTGCTTACTAGACGTGACCTGGCTGTTTTCGACCAGCCCATTTATAGAGTACCGAAGTGAATACGTCACACGCACAATTGTGTTTAATGGCACAGCGTGTGAACCAACGCATGCGTACGCCATTCGTTTGGGTTGCACTTTTGCAGTTCAAAATGACGTCACACTTCGGTTCTCTATAAAGCATAGCTGGAGAAATAGCGTGGATTTTTGACGGGTCTGTGATGATGCCAATTAAGTACAGTTGGACAATAGGAAAGTGAAGTGGCTGTGTTGCATTTGGCGTGTTGAACACAGTATAGTATGGAAGACTCTGACGCCAGGCCAGAGTGGTGTTCATGGCTAATGGCTATGGCTGCAATGTTTGCCATTAGCATGCCATGGGGTATGTCAGAGATGCCAGATCAGGGGTTGTGGGAAACGGATGACATCAGTGCAAAAGATCTGCTCTTAAAAGGAGCAGGGACCTTCCGAGACTTGAAATGCTCTCTAAATAGAGTCACAGGACATGTCCAAGTAGCCATAGCCGCTGAGTACTCAATTGTGATGTAGACCTGCATTGTGACTGAGCTCAGTCTCGACGGCCTTGTCTTACTCTCCAGCCTGGAGCACCGCCATTCGAGAAGCTGAACACCTGGGGCGGATCGCTGGCCATCGGGCATCCCTTCGCTGCGACGGGGGTTCGCCTGGTGACCACCGCGGCCAACAGGCTCCACAAGGAGGGCGGGCAGTACGCCCTGGTCGCGGCGTGCGCTGCAGGGGGACACGTAAGTATCTAAGTTGGCGTTAGTCTTAGGCTGCACAGGCTCTGGGCATGAAGCAGCTACAGCGGGGGTTAAATTAAGGGCAGTTTTACACCGACGGTCCGGGCAATTTTGTGGGTTTAATCCTCTCTCATAAGAATACAGCAGGTTGTCCCTTCATGCCGTTTCTGGTGAGCATTCCGGAAACAACCATCAGGCACTTTACAGTTGTCATGCTTTTGTACAAGCAAAGCATTTTGGAGAGGAAAAAGGACAAACCCGATGCTTTTATCAACTCCTTGGCAACTCCAGTCTTGCATCTTTGTCAGATAATACCAACATTTTTGGTATTCATTTATTAAAGTTCATTCAACAGCGCATTTAGCGCCAATTACAAGATGAAGCGACAGTTAACAAGACTATGAAGAAATGTTCATTTCTAGAGGTGGGAGGAAATCCCCAGATAAATATTCCAGGGAAAAGGAATCAGGCAGGGACTGAAAACCCGATCCACATGCTGGCCTAGGCGGGATTCGAACCCGGGTCGCAGAGGTTGAAGGCGAGGAATGAGCCACTGCACCAACCTGACATCCCCCCCCCCCCGCCGTACAGAAGGGACTGTTTTCCCGAGCCATTCACAGCTTGTCTTGGCCAACTCGTCATGTCTTCTTTTCATCTGCAGGGCCATGCCATGATCGTTGAAAAGTACCCATCGTAACTTCACCCAAGTAGAAGTGTCGTCAATGCAGGGTTTCCGAACACCCCTTCCTGTTTTTCTATTGAAAAGGTGATCCACTGTGTCATATCCACGGATATATGTAGCTCTGTAATTTTCTCTTGTTAGTATCCCTTGTTAGCCGCGTACCAAGAAAACTGAAGTGAAAGTTCGGGTACAGAATGGGCCAAATTGTCCCCGAACTAAGCTTTTGTTTTAAGAAATCTATTGCAACCATTAATTCAACTTTGTATATAATGCCAAATTACATTAGGCCACTCGGACATATTCTGTCACTGCGTCAAACGGAAGAAAATAATGCCCAGGAAAGGTTTTCAGGACCTCAGTGGTTTATGTGCCGTTATTTAATCAGTAGCCTTGCAGCATCAATGCAATGGAATTTGGGTGGTATGCACAGTTTGAAATATGCTTCTATCTTACATTTAGCCGTAAAATATAGCCCGCGTGATTCCCGTCGATTTGATTTGTTCATGTAAATGCATTTGGATATTAAAATCATCATTACACCTCGTAGCCAACGTCGGAAGTGGGCCAACAATTACTTTCTGTGCGCATTTATTTTTAGTCATCGACACGTTTTAAAGAATTGTTTCTGACATCTGGACTGTTGACTCCATCAGTTGAGTGACCACAATATTCTTTTCCTTTCAGTTACATACATCTTTGTCATTACCTATCAAAATAGATGTGTTTGTGAATCGTGTATAACGTATGTGGGACTGAAGAAATATCAAGTCTCATTGGAGGGCATGTGGAACTCGTCACGAAATAAGAAAACCGACTAGAATGACTGCAGTCACTGTACAGAGCAACAGGTGTATGAATGACTTTTGAAAGCTGTAAAATAAAGCTTATTCAACAAATTCACCTTGCGTATGTCGTGTATTAGTGTAAGGATTTTCAGCTAACTAAATTACATTACGCTAAGCGAGTTCCCCAAATGCTGGCAAGCCACTGAAAGATTAAACTCCGCACGGGCCGAGACCAAGTGTGCAAAAGGACCTTCAAAACAACTTTACTTACTCTGTAGCAGAAAATCCTCTCCAGAAATGGCCGCAAGGCAAATATGAAGTCCTCGGTGTTCCACCAGCCCAGTGTGAAGTTTGAACTGTCGTTTGACATCCTTTGCCAGAGAATGTCTAGACTGATGTGTGTTTGAAGCACGGGACTAGAATTCTGGAAGAAAACCTTGGCTACACAGTAGTCTGGTAGCAATGACTAGAGCACAAAAGTGCAACAAAGGAGTCCAGGTACAACACACATCTACTGAATTTGGATCATGTAGCTTTAGTGCTTGAATGGTCTTACAGTGCATGCAGGGTGCCAGTCTACCTTCTTACACTTCCTGTTTGTCTTGAATTTTGGGGACTTTGGGACTGTGTCAAGGTCCCTCTTTTGAACCTGAATTCTGCAGGATTTCCAATAAAACAAAGCTACGGTGCAATGAAAAAGATGCTCATGGCAACAGAATTAAGCTGACAGCTGTGGGACAGGTGCTGTGTAAGCACATTAACTGTACTGAGCACAGCGGTTACCAGGCAAACTGTGATGGCCTTTATACTACTGACAGGTTCTCCGCGAACCTTGCTGAGCATTGAACATTTGGTTCAGCAACATTCTCTGCTTGGGAAAAGATGAAATTCTAATCAGTCCAGATGTGCAGGTCTTAACTGACATTAATAAATAGAACTGGCAACGTCTAACCACAAAAGCCAGCATTGCTGACTTTGGCAGTTTCTATACCAAACATCCAACACTAAACTATAGATTGTTAGCAATGCATCCTGGGAATCCAATATGGCTACCATCACGAATGGCTGCCTTTACACTTGTTCAATGTCAGTTCATGTTGAGAGTTTCTTTTTAGGGAGAGGGACAGGCATCCCATCCCTTTGGGGATTCTGACGCAGGAAATTCAGTTTCGGTGTGCCTTTTAGTTCAGACACGGGCGAATCTACCGTCATGAAAGTCATGTAAACTACAGTCTCAAACCTTCTCAAAATGCCCCTCAAAGGAAGTCCATGTACTATTCCCCGACTATTGGGATGTGCACAGTGTACAGTTGATAGAACAGACAGACAGTGAAATCCAGCAATGAACAAAAGATGACAAACTGAAGTTTGCTGTCCATCTTTGTTTTGATTGTCAATCAACGGGTAGCATTCATTGCACAAAAATTTCAGTTTCCTGTGATCACAGAGGATTGGGGAAAAAACCTAAAAACTACATAAAACACACCAAGCAATGTATTATAACACCAACACTTATTCTGCTAACAGTAAACTTCACAGCACAAGCGATATTGCTCTGTAAGGTGGGATATGCTTGCAAGACATGACCAGCCTCTCGGCAAAAACGAGCAATAAATAGGCACTGTACAATGTGCCCATTGGATAGCTTGATGCGAACACTGTGTTTCTTTGAGCGTGATACCTGTTTATACGGATGGTAACCAAAGCCTCGCTGTTGCAGTCCTTATAGTTTTATAAAGTTAAAAAAAAACCCAGTTAATTCACTTTTTGCTACCTGAGCAGAAATTAAACTCAATGAAAATCTGTAACAGGTATTTAAAGATTGAAATGTGCATATATGATCGATATCCATGATACTTTCTCATAATAAGGCAAAATATAAGAAATCTCATCGCAAATTTACATAATCTGTACATAATAGAGGCGCTTTCTTCAAAACCAACATTATTTACAATATACCAACATCTAATAGTATCCTTAAAAATATGCTTCTTTGATATGCACATCAAAACTATATCATCACATGTACACACATTCAGATTCTCTGAATACATGATGAATATTCAAGAAATACTACTACATGTGTACTATTGCTATCAATATCTTGATGCTATCAATCGTTACAAAAAAGTGCGGCTGGAAACTTTCTGTACAAAGTAATGAGATATTATATAAAAAAAACTCTGCAATTAAAAGCCTTCAAGGTCACGCGGGAATACATGTACACAGTGGGGCCGACTCGAAAAGCAAGCTGCATTGAGGTGAACTCTGACCCCTTCATTACTTGTAATGAAAAGCCTTCTAGACTCTTCCCAAATACTCCGCTGTCAAGGAGACCAATGGTCTATTCTTTAGCCAACAACCAACAACGGGGCTGTGGATTTCTTATGTTCAGTTTTAGAGCTTGGCATTTCAGAATCTGTCCAAGTAGAACATTGTGGATTTCTGACAAATGTAGGGAGGTTCAGATGAATCCAACGGAGGGACAAATTTATAACTTGCACAAACACCAGTTTAGTATCTGAAAAAAGTGTGTGCTCAGATACAAATGTCCAGACTGACAATAAACTGACGACAACATGCTAATGGGGACCAATTCTTGTCGGACATACATGTAATTTTTGCTGAACGATGAAGGAACTCATTTGGACTGTAGGTGCCAAACGTTTCTTGCGTATCTCTTATTAAACAGTTAAAAACTTGACTAAATATAAAAAGCTTAAATGCAGTGTGGTTAAAAATGTAACAAGATAGGATCGCTGAGGTTTAAATGTGGGGTACAAATTAGGATTGCTTCCTTGCCTTGTCTTTTTCAGATGCCAATGCACAGTATGTGATTCCCTTCTCCCCCCCCAAAAAAAAAAAAAAAAATTGAGAAACTTACTTTTATTTTTCGTTTTTCATAAATATAACGCATACATCTCTATAAGTATTTTCCTGCACAGCTATAACTTCTATGTTAAGCAAACCGGTCATTTGCTCAAGTCCTTCCGACCCAACAACAGAACCTAACGTCTTACACATAGATACGAGTGCTACTTGAAAACTGCAGTACAGTCAGATATATTGCACAGAGAATTTCATACGTGGACGGCAGTGCTCTCCAAAACAACATGTCAATGCAAAATCAGAATGAAAAACTTGGCTTTCAGAAAAGCAACATTACGTATCAGACGTGATTTTTTTTTCACAGCAAACACACATACAATCATCATCGGTCGAGGTAAAGTAATTCTTTCCAAACGAAGTTTGTGTAAAAGATTTCGCAGAGACTTCAAAGGTGCCCCCTGATGAAAGCACTGAAGACGGACACAGTCAAAATTAATTCTCAGAACTTGTCAAATTGTATTTGCTACCATCTTGTTTGGAGGTTAATTTGAGTTTTTTGATGACGTACTCTACACTTCTCATTTTAGTTTAATACTAACGTTCACCAATGCACACTTTTTTAAAGTGCAACTTTGTTCACGCGACGTTCACACGAGGATGGAAAGAGCTTTCAAGAGGCAACAGAATTACACGATCTAAAAAACCTCATTTATACCCATTGTGATAAAGCGATCAGCCCAGAATATCAGCTTTGCAACTGCTAAACTCCTCCGGTGAATTAAACATCTCTTTCCCTGCTAGCAATCACTGGTCATCTTTCTTCTCGTCTTGTCCTTCTGGAGCCTTGCCGTCATCATCTTTCTCCTGTGCCTCGCCATCTTCTGCCTCGTCGTCTTGAGCTCGGTCGGCCTTCGCCTCTTCTCCCTCCTGCCCCGCGTCGGCTTGGGCATCCGCAGAGCCATCCCCTGCGCCATCCCCAGCACCCTCGCTCAGCGGGAGTGGGTCCAGCTCAACTTCCGTGGCGTTGTCGCCCTTGTCCGCGGCTAGCCACCTGGAGAGTGGAATGAGTATGCGATGCAAGATTACAGCACGCAAGGGCAGAACAAAAACCAAACCCAATAACGGCACAAGTTGAAGGTACGTACATCTCCGGCATGCAACCGGGGGAAACAAGACAATTCCAAAACTCTACAAGACTTTTTGACCTTGGTTCCAATCTCATCCAGGCAGGAATTTGGTTTGAGGTTTTTCGGCGCCATGTCCGATATTTCTCTTGGGTTCATTATCTTCCCTGCGTTGGTTTCTTCAGGCTTGCGAGCTACAGTGTCGGGGCCACTTTTGAAGAATCCTGCTTTTCTCCATTCATACAATCAGAAGATCGAAGAGACTTAATTGATCCTCACCTGTTGCACGGGAAGGTGACTCCCCCAGACTCTTCTCCAGATTTGCTCACTATGATCTTATCCAAAAACCAACCTGACTCTGGAGACAGAAAGAAAGTGGAATGGTAAATGCCATCCAGACAAATAAATCGGGGCGGGGGGGGAGGGGGTAATCATCCTTACTTGCAGCTGCTAGGCAGAATTGCGAAGGGTGTAGCTACAACATGTCCGAGCTGATCTCTTGTATAGGTGCCTTGGGCAGCTGCCCGATGACCCATATTTGACCACACAGCAATGGCAAGAGATCGTTAGTGCTAATTTTTGAGGAGGAAGGAAAACCGGCGAACCTGCAGAAAAACCCTCGCAGCAGGGGAGAACTTCCAAACAACTCTACTCACTGGGCTGGGAATCGGACCCAGGACCACTGCGGTGAGAGGCGAGTGCTTTACTCACGTGCTGTCCGTGCTTCCAAGAGCAGTTTCTGATGACACTTGGTATGCTAGTGAAGAGACCCACACTTAGCATGCAGCTGGGAAACAAAAACTGTGCCTATGTCTGAATGTGAGCAGAAATTTGGTTCACAGTCACACACCTGGTTGGTCTCCGTCACGTCCCACGACGCACTTGTCGATTCTTCCCAGTGATACGGCTTCCACGGTGAACTTGTCCGTGTGCCCTTTGCTGAATGCCGTCGGGTCCCCTGGGTCTCTGACCAGGTCTCTCCGGCCCGTTTCGCCGTGTTCGCCCCTCAGGGTGAGGTAGACGTCGGCCTGGGTGTCTGCACCGTCCAAGTCACCGGTCAAAACTTGGACTTTGTATTTTACAACTGGAAAAGAAAGTCAAATCAAAATGCAATAGAACACGCAACATGCATTGCCTTCAAGACCGTCAACGACTGAAAGCGTACTCCTTGCTATATTGCTACTGTTGGTCTCTCCAGTGAGACAATAAAATTTCCACCCAATGAAATCTCACCCTCGGGTATGGGCTTTTCGGGCCAGATTGCAGGGATCTCGATGACTCGGTTGCAACCGTCTTGATGCCTGGACAGCCAGCGAGAGACGGTGTAGCTGAACTCGGCCTTGGTGTCGACGTCGTTCATCTTGATCTGGACAGAGAGTTACCATGTCGGGTCAATGCAAGGAAACCCACGCGTGTCCGGGGGGAGGGACGACACAATTTTCTGTGACTTCACAGCTTACAATTACGTACCTTTTCCAGAAACCAGTCGGACTCCTGGGTGGTTCCGTCGTGCTCCAGCCGCACCTTGTAGATGTGACCAACTTCACCCACATTCACCTGGACGCAGCACATCATAAACAAACAGTTATTGCAACACTTCTTCAAAACTTGAAAAATATGGGCATAATTTGAACGGAGAACTGCCCGCACAGTATTTACATGACCCCTTGTACTTGGGCCAACAACAAGTCGAACTATATCAAATACAACCTTGCCATGTGTCCTTACAGAATTAAATGAGAGTTCTGGAAAGCAAGTCACGATCTGCAATCTTACAGCACAAAAATTCTCCCTTATTTTGGGGAAGTTTCATCTAAACACCTCACCTCAAATTCCTGAGTCTGTCCAGGCTCCATCTTGGTCGGTTGACCATCCTGCGCTAGGGGCATGGGCTGGCTGGTGCCCTCTGACCCACACACCGTCACGGTCATGTTAGCCTCTGTACCAGCAGTCTCTGCCTCGCCCGTGGTGACAAAAACCTTCCAGTTGCCCTCTGAATAAGAAACGGAGTGTAGATTTAATCGAAATGTACAAAGAAGGAAAGCTTACCATCTCCCGCCACCGTTATCTGGAGAACTGTTCTGCATGTAATACACGATGTTTAAACGCTTTTCTTATGTACCTGACTGTATTTACTCTCTTCATGTAAGCCTTTACATTAATTTGGGTATAAGCGGCTGGGTTGGTGAGTCGCACGCATTTGTCGTACGGTAGGAATATGCAATATGCTGATGTAACTCACTGGATTGGACTGGTTCCTGACCCTCAGGTAATGGAGCTACAGTGTTGCTGGGTCTTTCAGTGGTGGGTACCAACTCAGTATCTACTGCCTGGTCTGGGTTCTCCTTGCTGCCTAACCAGCTGAACAGGGAAAAAAAACAGAGACTGAGCCTCAGCAAGAAGGACCAACACATAATGACAACATGTCTATTGGCAGCAAGAACCCCAAGTTTGACTAGATCTTTCACAGCTGTACTCATAATGGCTGTCTTTCCAAGCACTGCAGTTTTCAGAAAGATTGGTCCTTGACTCCCCGCTGAAAAGGTCCCCAAAACTGGCCAATTTAAGTTAAATTTGAAGGGCTGAGGACCGTTTGGGTTAAGATTAACATCAACAAACAGCTTAGATGATCCAACACAGCCCGTATTAGCAACAAAAACAATGCAAGCCGTGCTGCGTTCCAACAAGGGGTGCTGTGAGAGGGACCCGAACATTCCAAGCTGGGCAACCCTCCTTCTCTTCGTACCCTTCGTGTTTGAACTCTGTCTCCGCGGCAGCAAACTCCCCTTCTTTGATGATGAGTCGGTCCAGGTACCACGCCCTGCCCGACGCCTTGTGGATCAGGACTTTGTTAATGCTGCCGAGAGACACGGCTTCTAGGTCAAAGATATCCGTCTGCAAGAAAAGTTCAACAAATTCACAGGGTGCTGTTAACAAGGTCAAACTGTCAAGGTCAACCCTAAAGGTCAAAACTGCAACTATCCTTGCTCATCAGTTTCAAATAAATATTTGGAACTGCAAAAAAACATGTTAGATTAGCTTGATTCAAGCAATCAAGACAATGTGACAACTCACATTCTTGTTTAAAACGGACATTCGGTGAGTGAAATACCTTTTGGGGCTCATTAAAGGCCTTTTCGCCATCCCTGGGTTTGTTGAGAAGTCTCCTGCCACTGTCCCCTCTTTCGCCAAACAGCGTGACTGAAACTTCTGAGTCGGTCCCCGCATCCTCGGCCTCACCAGTGAAGACTTGCAGATAGTACATGACACCTTCAAGTTAAGAAGAGACAACAATATACAGCGTTGATTCTGACGGTCCTGCGCTCAGCGATACGGTACCCTTCCCATCATGTTGAAAATTACGTCGACAAGGATGTCATCAATTTGTGTTTGAAAAATATCAGTCAACAATGCCGTCAATTAGCTTCTTACTGGGCAACGGTTCCTCGCCAGGCCTCAACGCTGGAATCTCGGCGATGACGTCTCCCTTCCCTTCGTTCTGAATGCGGGACAGCCATCCGTTGTACTCGAACGTCAAGCTCTCGTCCGAGAAACAATCTTGCAGGTCAATCTTGGCAGAAAGACGAAACCAGATCATTTTTTTTCGTTTGCAGCTTCAAACGCAGTCTGTGGCAAATCATTCCTGACTTGTCACCCTCATATTGTGAACTTCTCCAAGCAGAGCAGTTTGGTGAGTTTGATTTCAATAATCTGGGTGTCTTGCATGTACATCCGTTTCCACTTCCTGAACCATGGCGGACTTTTGTCCAGTTTAAGTTTCATGAGCTGTTTTGCTCAACACATCCCTCATTTCGTTACTATCTCACCTGTTTCAAGTGCCAGGATTTATCCTTGCCGTCGTCCAGTTCCACTCTTATCTTGTAGATGTCACCGATACAAGGACCGGGCTCCAACTACGAACGAAATGAGCACAGTGATGCAGGAGTATATGTGTAAAGACAAAAGCAGAACAAACCTTTCTGTAGAATAACTGCCAACACATTGCAGAGAGCTCTGAAAGTATGGGGGAAACTTCAATAAAGTATTCAGTAGAAGGCAGGAGCTACAGGACTAAAGACTCAGGCAAGCTGATTTTATTTAGGAGGGGGGGCAAATTACATTAAATGCACACCAACAACACTTAAAGTTCTTGACCAACTCACCTCAAACACGGTGCTCTTGCCGGGCTTAAAGTTGCCCTCCTGCCCGTTGGTCAGTGACATGACCTTTGACACGCCCCTGTCACCGTAGGCGACCAGCGACACTGAAGCATCAGTCCCACACTCTGGGAGGTCGCTGGTTTGGACAGTGCACTTCCATTTTTCTGCATTTGAAAAGAAAATAAACAGAACTGTTAGTGGTTTATTTACAGAGCATCAATTATATTCACTGTACAGGTACATGATTGTGGGATAAGTGTCATTAGGTTTCCATGGAGATTAATTTTATGGCAACTGTTGACTAAATACTACGCACCTTTTGTACCTTATCACTGCAACATAATTGAGGAATGAGATGGGAGGAAACTAAAATATCCATGGAATGATCACTGCAGGTTTTGTGGGCTCCACCTAGGGAGACTATATTAGCTACGGCAAACATCTGTGTTTGCCTAATTGTAAAGGAACACCTTCAAATGTCCATGTCTTGTGTTTTGTATCAACTTGTAATTTACATTACTGAATGGTAAAACCTCTGCATTTTCCAGATTTTAAAAGGAGATTGTTAGAAAAATCCTAAAAATCAAGAAAATCCTGACAAGTCTCACCCCTGATGAAACCGGCTTTGATTCTCAACCGATTTCTTGTACAACTTCTGCCCGCGTGCCAGGGGCAAACTGCAAATTTAAGGACCAGTAAAGATCAGGGTGTCACGTTAATGTCAACAAACCTTGTACGGGCAACTCCGCGTCATTCTCAGCTGCTTTCAGCTCGTCACTCTCTGGATCCACCGGCCCGATCCAGCGCGAGGACGGGAAGACGTACTCCCGCTCGGCCTTGGGCGATGTCTTGACGACGACCCTGTCCAGATACCAGGCCTGGGACGGCTCAGTGGACTCGTTACGCACCGTGATGGTGTGAACTTTCCCGAGGTCTACAGCCTGTACTGTGAACATATCCACCTGACAGGGAAACGGTCACAACCGGGTAAAATATAGCTTCAATTTGCTTAGAATAGCCAAAAGTTTAAAATCCGAACATATTTGAAGGGGTAAGCAAGACTTTCATCCAAAGGTATATCCAATTTTTCGAAGCCCTAACAGCGTTCGCTATAAAAGATTGAGAAACTCAGTGTGAGACACAGCTGGTGCTCGAGCAGTAAAGTCTTCCTTTTTCATAATAAACGATAAAAACTTGATGTACATGGCCACGACATTTTCATTCTTGAAGCAACAGCGTTCACTGACGCCGAGGCAGCACCTTTTCCTGATGTGTCACACTAACAAGTCTGGCCCTAACCTGTTCAGGTAATGAAATTCTGAAGTTTAAAATCTGTGTTCAAAGTTCTTGAATTTACCATCCAAGATGAGCGTGGCGATACTGCTAGGGAGAAGGTTGGGAAAAAAGGGTCTAAAAGTGTTCAAAGGGGTTGCCACTGCTGGTACATATGAAAGACATGGTGTGTCCGGTACCTGTCCCTTTCCAAACTTCTGACTGTTGTTTGAAGTCGTCAGCAGCCGCTCGCCGCTGTCCCCTATAGAGCCCTGTAGGGTCATGTGAATTGCGCCTTCTGTCGCAGCGTTGTCTAGGTCACCGGTGTGAACTTTGACCTGGTAGTTATAAACTGCACAGGAAAAAAAGAAGCAAACGTGATATTTACAATACCTTTCCAGTCCAGTTCGGGATCACTTCTCAATTGCCAGATCACTAATGCAAAATGATAGAGGATAGGCAAGTAGCAGTGAAAATCCTAATGCCCTTCACTCAATTAGGTCATCCGGCTAAAGAGCGCCCTCTGCAGTCTGTGCACAAAACCAATACCTTGCAAGGGATCCTTGTCCTCTCTTGTAGCTGGGACTTCGTGGCATAGCTGGCCGTCGCCTTGGTCCCGGGCCAGCCAACAATCGAACCTGAAGTCTAGCTCCTCGTTTGAATCAACGTCCTTCATCCCTACCTGTAATTGAAACAGTACTATCTTCACAAAGGTAACGCTGCGAAGAGTACAATCACAACTGCATGTCGCTGAAGTTCAAGCCGGGCTTTGCTAACTCCATGAACTTCATTCTCTACAATTCTTTTACTTTTCAAATCTACTTCTAAACTGAATGTCCGCAACTGTGCCTCAGCAAACTATTCCGCTAAGATCACTGATCATTAGCCAATAAACACTATTCGGTGACTAGCAGTCTGGAATGTACGCAGGCCATTCACCGATGACACTTTACTGACCACGTGGGGTTCTGAAAAGAACCGGAGGGTACTCAATGTTTCGGACAGCATGCTTTGTCTGTCGGCAGGAGAGAACCATACATGCTCAGAAAGAGATCTCCTTACATGGTGCTGCCGTAAACCTTCTTATCTAACTCGCCACCTTCACCATGAAAAGCTTCAAAGCTCATCTGACACTTACGGAATTGACATGCCAGGCAGGGCTATCACCTGAGTTGTCGTGCTGGAGACGGATCTTGCTGATTGCTCCAATGTCTCCGACATTTATCTGAAAACAGTAACGGCAAATTCACATCGTGAATTACCCAACGTCGTAAGACTACACAAACTACTGACCAATGTGACATGCTAACGGTATCCATTAACCCGCGGGAATTTTTCTGATGTCTGAATGAATTACCTCAAATTCCTCCTCCGATCCTGGTTGGAACGCCTCTCTCTCTAGTCGATGTGTGGAGCGTTGCCCTTTCTCGCCGTACACGACCAGGCACACTCTAGCCGTGCTGCCTGCATCGGGCTGGTCGCTGGTCTTCACTCTGACCTGCCACAGGCCTTTGGTGTCGGGGGTTGTGGATGGGGGACAGGCCACCTCGCCGAGTAGGGGGAGGGTGCGCTCCAGCTTGCGGTCATCCACGCCGGTATCCATCCACCTGAAATTACAATCACGATAATCGAGGATTTTAATTTCTGCACTTCACCGATGCATTGTTATGAAGTACCAATTGGTCAAAAAGCCACAATCGAGGACCAGCGCTTTGTGAATCCTGACAAACCCATTAAAATATGCTCTCATGCTTAGATAATGCATTTTTCTGATCCACACCAGACTTCTGGTTGTGTACATTCAGTCGCAAATAAGTTCTACAAATACTGTGTGTGCGTGCTGCGCGTGGCACCAACGCACCGTTTGCAAGGGAAGACGTATTGAGTAGTAGCCAGTGCCGACTGCTTCAGTGTGACGGTGTCAAGATACCAGCCGGCCCCAAACCCTTCTGAGTGATGGCCTATGGTGATGCTGGAAGGTCTCAGAATGTCGACGGCCTCTATGGCGAATATGTCAACCTGTGAACAAGAAGCAACAGGCACAAGGGACGCATTTATTCTCCCCAACCCGCAAGGTGCACGAGAGACAGAAGACACATGTTCCTGAATTTCACCTAAAGTTTGCTGACATAACTAACCCATGGCAGTGGTTGTTAATCACAGCACAGGGAAAGTCTGATCCCCAAAACTGTTCAACTGCTCAGTTTTGCCCGGTAACCTCTGCATAACATGCATCCCGGCTACCGAGCAAATCCATCCAACACCTAACTACTGGCTGCCAATCCAACTTATGGCTAATATATCACAATGGGAAAGTCGAGCAGTAGACACAACAGTCAACCAACGCCTCGTTCACTTGACTAACCTGTGCTTGCTTGAACATGACTGGGTTGTTGGACTTGCGTAGTATCCGGCAGCCGGTGTCCCCTCTGGCTCCATACACCGTGGCGTAGATGACGTCACTTAGCGAGGCAGCCCCCTTGTCGCCGGTGCGCACTGACAACTCGTATGTAAGCACTACAGTAACAAGACAAATAAGAAGGCTGAAACTGCATGCAACACGGATGGTCACGCAGGGGGAGGGTTTAACTAGTGAAGCAGTATTGCAGACTTGCTCAGTAATGGGAGGATCTGCTCAAAACTGAGTGCAGGTTACCAGTTAAAATGACAATGGTCTGTATTCTTTGACTGGTCCACACCCGAGTTTTGCTCGATAGCAAGAAAATTACTGTGTTGGTTATCTACAAAGTAAACCAGCGAAAAAGTAAATTCAAGATTTGGCTCTAAAAAGTGAGAAACGCATCCACAAAAGACTTACCTGGTAGAGGAGGTATATCTGGCCTGATGGCTGGCAGCTCTAAGTAACAATCTACTGCTTCATCTCCGGCTTGAGTCTTCTGCATCTGCTCTGTTGCTTCATCTTTCGTTTCGTCATCTTCCTTGTCTGCCTCTTCCTCTCGCTTCTTATCCTCGACTTTCTCCTCTTTGTGGTCCTTTGTCTTCCCGGCTTTGGAGGTCGTCTTCTTCTCATCACCCGGTTTCTCCTCGGATTTCTTGCCGCTCTTATCCTCTTGTTTTGCCCCGGGCTCTGGGGCCTCCACAGGGCTGGCTTCAGTGGGCAGAAGCTTGGTGTCGTCAGGGCAGCAGAGCCAACGGTTGATGAAGAAGTGGAACTCTTGGTTTGTGCCCTTGTCTTTCATTTTCACCTGATCAAGGCAAGACAGAAATCAATTTATTTCATCCAATCATGAAAGTAAATGTACAAATACGTACCCAACTGCCAGTACTTCCTTCCCATTCCAATAACGTAGCCTTAAGAACTAGTAAACCTGAAACACAGGCTTTACCAGTACAGACATTTATCACGATACTGCCATGTTTGTCTTGCTCCCTATTGACCCACTGGCAATACTAAAACAATCTCAACTATCGATAAAGGGGAACAGACTAATTTACCTTCCAGCCTCAGTTTGGTCACATTGCTTTGAATGGTAGAAAAGCAAGGCTGCCCCCATAATAGAGGTCTACACTCATGTGCATGCTATGCTAAAAAACAGCCAGCTCGCACAAGTCAGGCACATGAAATTTCTTCAGGAGCCCATGGCTTTTGAACAGTGCCAAAGGACTTGGGGATTTCCCGTACTCAGAATGGTTTTGAACTGTCTCACCTTGTCCAAGAAGATGCTTGGCGTATCATCTTTCATGTCACAGGAGTCCAACGAGAGACGGATCTTGTAGATTGGTCCAATCTCTCCTACGTCAATCTGCACATCAAGGAGTGTTAACAATAACCAGATGTGAGCATACTCTTTCGATGGATCTGATCAAGGTCACGCTGCGTTTTACTTGTAAATGAGCTTTGCTTTCTATGGCAAGTCCCAAGTAAAATTTGCACATGATCATCGCCAAGATAATAGCATCCCAAAACTGTGGCATTCCTCATATTACTTCTTATTTAGCATCTGACTAGGGGTACCAACCATGAGCAAAGATGTAGACAAAATGGTGAAAGGTAAGTTGTACACGTACAAGGTAGGAATGCTTAGTTGGATAGAGTGCTGGCGCAGTCCTTCAAAGGTTGGTGATTCAAATCTAACTTCACTCAGTTTTCTTTAATGAACTAAAATGTGATTTGAAAGCCTAGTCGGTGCCCCTCTTTCAACTGCATCTGTGCTGTTTTAGTTCTTACATCAAACTCTTTGGTAGAGCCTGGAGAGAAGGCTAGGTCTTGCACCCCATCTCCATTCTCCTCAGCCTTATCAGCACTCTCATCAGTCTCAGCCTCATTCTCCTTGCTAGGCGTTGCCTTCCTCTCATCAGCTCCTTGCCCCTCATTGTCCTCCTTTGCCTTGTCATCCCCCTCAGCTCGCAATGGGATGACCTCACTCCTTCCCTTCTCCCCGTACACCTGTATGGAGAGGTTGGCATCCGTGCCCATTCCATCGTCTTGGCCAGGGGTGATCCAGACGGTCCATCTGCCCTTGGATGAAGACTCTCCGTCATCCTCCTCACTCCCTTCCTTGTCTTTAGGAACCACCTCCTCCCCTTTATGAAGTCAACAAAATTTTGCCATCAACTCCAAAGCGCATTTTTACGACAAAACCTGATCAACGGCTCTAATCTACGACTGACTGTTTCTATAAGGTCACATACAACGACACTGCAGTGCAATGAGCCTTGAGCTGGACCAACACAGGGTGTCATTGTCTTGGCAACGGAGGTTCCTTTGGTCGGAATAGAACTTTGCTGGTTCACGAACGACTAGGATATGCAAGCGTTACCGTCGCGTCACTACCAGCAAAATGTACACTCCTGACCAACATGGCTCTTTTCAACCAATGAGGGGGTGCTTCTGCTTAAGGCAGATTTTGTGAAATGAGAACAATTACTCAAAACTGATTTACAATACATGCAAATCAGCAAAGCACTCACTTCTAGTCTGGCTTGAAGCCCCCTACTGTCAAAGTCCACGACATGATAAACAGAACCAATACCGCTCACTTGTGTCTATCACACTGCATCATAAAGCCTGCCTTCCAGGCTGCCCATTTACTTACTTACACCCACACAAATGATTGTCTGGTGGCTACTCTAATCTGACAGGCAACCTGAGTATTGCAGCCAGTAGAGAGGACCCAGATTGTGCGGGGTTGCACAATTTCCTTTGTTCCTGAAATTGGTTCAGTGCGAGTGGCTTTACAAATGCGACCAGATTCGCATGCGGCGGTAATGTATTGCTCATCGCTGAAGTGCTGGAGCGCTTTTGTCCCCGCTGATAATCCGCGGGTGCTGAATGCCGCGAACAGTGGCATACCGTTTCAAATCAATGACGGATTACCTCAAAAAATGCCAGCACTCTGTGCTGAAAACTTTTGGCAATTCCAAGCAGCTTGGTCTTTTGTTACAAGGCCATCCTGGCCATGCATATATGGCCAACGGCTATGGCACCGCGCTCCCCGGCACTGAGTGGTTAGACTTTGATGGCAAGAAGTGGCGGTTAATTCTGCTGGCTCATTCAGTTAACTTTATTTCCATGATGGTTTGTAGCTGTAAGGGCCCTTCATCAAATATCTGCACCAGACTCTGGCCAAAATGGTTTCGGCCTGAACAAGTGCTACATGTATCCAAAGTGCTCCCCGCATGAAGGTCGTAACTCTCATTCGTTTTGTACACGAGATACGACCTTGTTGCACCAACACGACGGTGCTTGCAAGTAACAGGCTGATGTAACAGCTGATATGACGATCACATGTGCAGCTTCTGCCGATGGTAATCAAAACGCCACTGCTAGTGCTTACAACATCTACAGATATTTTGTATCGGCAAGCTGACCTCGACAAACTCCTGAATCAATACTCTGAGAAACTTGCTCCTAAGAAGGACGCAGTTTTTCTCACAAGCTCACTGAAAGCACTAAGCAACCACACTTTAAACTCCAGAAAACTGTCTAGAGAAAAACTCACATACTGTACACACCATACCATTAGTGTAAGTGTATTTTTATTTCAACGTTTACTAGGCACTTAAAATCCCATATCTACCCCAAATCTGTCAAACCTTTCCTACGATCCAGATCGTTAAGGGCCACATAATTTGCCATAAATTTCTGGAGGACTCCACAAAAATTCTCCCGAAATTTCGCCACAAAAAAAACCTCAATGAGTTGGGACTAACCCTAACACTCCTCAATCCTTCACCTGTTGGAGGACTGAGGACTGTTAGGGTTAATGGAGAAACGATTATACCTCCGTTCTTCAATGCAACTACTGTGCCTACTGCATTACTCTTGATAAATTATTTGAAAGTTGTAACAAGACAGCAATAAAGAAGATGCAGAGAGTTTTACAATGTGAATGATTTGAAGACAAGAGTGGTGGTTACGTAAAAGCCGGGGTGTTTCAGGAGTGTACAGGGTGCAAAATTGTTTCAAATCTGTGCAAAAGAAGTGTCGAAAGTACGCTTGTAATAAATCCTAGACAGTTTTGTGCGACACTCAATCAGTTTGTGAGATCTGTGATCTACGTTAAAAGTGTCTGTGCTTGAGATTAGAATATGCCAGTGCCATATCTAGTCAACTTGCCTTCGACTGTTAATTGATGCTCCAAAACAGGGGTGCCTTGACATAAAAAGTCCGAGCGACAACATCATTCTCTTGCCAAACTAAAAAGGCTATTCCGTTCTACTTTCTTTTCAGCCATTACACAAAACAAGATTGGCATTCAAACGGAACATATCTGTGTGGGCATTAAACAAAATTCCATTCAGTCAGTCGAATATAAAAACTACAAGTTGTGAGAGGTATCTTGCGTTTTCGCTACAAAAACAATCTTTGAAAAGTCTCCATGCAGAGTGTGAAATCGTTCAAGAATATGCATTCAGTTAACAGGAAGTCAGTAAAAATCGGAACAGCTGGGATTTCAAACAATTCATAGATTAGCTTCACAGAGTTTACGTGAAATACACTTTTCCCCTCAATTAAAATATTGCACCCACGGGTTCTTAAATCTGATACATACGAGCCAACGCACATTTCATCCGCAATATTACACACATGATGGATGAAAAAACTTCTCCCTCCACACCTTCTGAGCTGACGCTAGAGCAGTTGTCCTGATTTATGTGGGAGCCGTCAAGAATAAAATTCGAGATTATGGGGCCCCATTCCCTTCCGACAGAAATCCTTCCCTTGGTCATTCAAACAAGCGGATCATTCATGTTAGTAAGCAATGGAGAAGGGCAGTGCCGGATTGGATGGAAACATATCGGCTTACCTTCAGGTTTTAGATCGGTCTGGAGGACTGTGCTTCCGTCCTCGCCAATGATTGCATTTCCGAACCACATCTTGCAAGGGAAGACGCCGCGAGTCGTGGCGTACTTTCCCTCTCGGACGGTGACCTTCTCCACGAACCAGGTGTCTTGCTTTTCTTTGGAGCTGATGCTCAGAATGGCCCGCTCCAACTGGCCCACAGAAACGGCATCAAAACTGAAAGTGTCCACCTACGAGCAACAGAGGTGAAGTATTGAAGTATCCCGAGGGTCAACCGAATGGCTAGTGAGCTGGACCGAGGGAAGGCCAGTTGGGCATTGTATTGGCAAAGCTGGCCGGTTGGGTGGTTAGTAACGGGTAAAGGGTGGGGGATTTGCATGGGTTTGGAATAAGATTAAAGCAGTGGTACTTTCCCTACTAAAAAGCTCCGCATGCACGACCAGAGTTCAAATCCCACTGGGGATTCTATAGTTTGGATTGCTTTTTTTTGCTCATCGTTATGACATTTGGCCCGCAATCTTCTCTGGGTTTTTCCGCTTCAAGGACTTTTTTTTTCTCAATATCATTTCGGTGAAGATTTTGTTCCGAATTATGAACTGTTGAGGAGCTTCAGGAATCCACGGTTTTGTTGCCAGAAGTAACAGCAGCGGCCAGTCAAGTGACCAATAGGCTAACAACTTGGCACCTTTTTTTGGTGGCCAGCCGGGTGGTCAGTCGGCACACCCGGATGTGTGGCCAGAAGGAAGGACTGGCAAATTATAAACGGCCTTGGAGCAGTCAGAGGACTATTACATGCAAAGTGGATGTAAGCTGGCTAACTTTTGAGGCCAAGGCCTTCCGGCTGCTTCTTGACTTCAAGCCCAACCTTGAATTTGATCACAGCTTTGTCTCCTTACCTTGACCTTGCCATCTTCGCAGACTGGCTTGCCTGTCCTGATCAGTTCCCATTTAGCCATCTCTCCTGCCTCGCCCGCCAGCGCTATGGAGAGGTCGGGGTTTGTCGATGCGCTATCCGGATCTTCCCTGATTTGGACTTGCACTGTGTAATTCACCACTAAAAAAATCCCAAGTATAAAAATTAATAAAAGTGCTTAGTTTAGTAAAATAGTTACCTCTTTTAAGTCTTGGCAACTTTTGAGCACAAAGGTTTCTGGCAACAACTGGTCGGACGAGCAGAAAAACAGAACAAAAGCTTTGGCTAAAATATGATCAAATAAGCACTGTTTCAATGGCACTGGCTTTGTGCACATGCTACAGAGGGCACTACGTTGCCAATTGGTGAGAGAAAAGATTGGGCCGAAAGTTACGGCTGTGACTAGGTACAATGCCTGCACCTATGGGAAGCCACTGGCTAGCCGCTTAAACCACTTTCCACTGCCGTGTGCACCAACCCCAGCCGTAACCAGTCAATTCGGACATTTCCGAAACACAAGCTTTTGAAACAGTATCCTGGTGTCTGAGATAGGGAGAAAGCCGGCCACCGAGCCAGGAGGATATTGGAAAACGGGCCTTGCCTGGCGCCCATACCTGGCAGGGGATCCACACCGGCCCTGATGGCAGCCACCTCCTTTACGGTGCTGGGATTGTCGCCCTGGTCGGACGACAGCCAGGTGTTGACTTGGAACACCAGCTCAGGCTTAGCCGCGTGGACCAGTCGCACCTGCAGGGATAAACCAATCACGCGTCACGTCCAATCTGAAGCCCACCGGAACCCTTTCCTTTGATTCAATAATCACACCTTTCTGTTAACAGCTATCAACTATACACACAATGGAGAACAGTCCTTTTGACAAACTAGGCTCTAGGAAGTCACGTTAACAACAAAAATCTAAATGCAGACCCATTGCAAAATATACGCTATGCATAATTTTTTTCAGTTTCTGCCAAAGAGTATTCAGCACATTATCTATAAACTTTATGAGATCTTGAACCAATAAGCCGTTCAACTGATAATTAATTTCCATATTCCCTTCTTCCCAAAAACCAGGCACGTTCCCCAACTCCTTCGAGCAAGAGTGCCCCCTCGCTGGCAGAGAGAAGAGAGGCCAGTTGGGGGGGAGGGGGAAGGAACAGTTTCAACCAGACGCTGGGTGCCCACGTGAAAGAAACCCTACATTCCAGACAAAACTGGCCCCGAGTGCTCTAGGGAGTCGCTCTAGCATGACACTGTGACTGTGTGAAATCAAGCAATCCCTTGCTGAGGCGCGGAGGTTGTCAATATCAACAGTTACCTGCTGCACGTGCCAAGCTGGGCTGTCACCAGAGTTGTCGTGCTCCAGACGGATCTTGGCAACCTCCCCGATATCACCCAAATCAACCTGGTGTGACAAAGGTAAACAAAAATACACATCGCAGTGGAATAGCCGATACATAATTGAATAGGTAATGATTTCCCAAATTACTTCCTCTTTGGATACAGCCAAGGCACAGAAAGCCTTTTTGATTATCTCTGTTTTTGGATATTTGCACTATGTCTGTTGGGGCTTCGAGCAAACACCTTACTCTCGAATATAAATGGAAAATACCCTTAAACCAATCATTCTCCAACTATTTTTTGGGTTCCAACGTGTACCTAGGGGTTATTAGAATGTTGGAAGTAGCAATGACGATCAGTATGTAACTCCCTCTCCTCAGCCCTAAACCCCGCCCCTCTAAGGCAATGATCCAAGCTGCTACAGACACAAGGCTCCATTTGTCAACATACATCAAATTCCTGCTCAGTGTTGGTGTCCAGTGTCTTCCCCTGCAGGGTGTGACTCGGGGATCGGCCGCTGTCTCCAAACACAGTCAGGTAGACGTTGGACGTAGTCCCTGCATTCTCGAGGTCGCTGGTCTGAACTATGACCTTCCAGCTAGTGTCCGCAGAGTCTAACCAAAGAGAATAATGCTTGCATCATTCATAATAGTGAATGGATCCGGAAATCGCTCATGACGCAAGATCTGTCAAATGAAATGTCCCATCAAGGTATCATCTTCTTCAGAGTCTGGTTGGCATGTCTACAAATGATTGTCTAGTTACAGATCTGACAAATCCAACTGATTCCTTTGGTTGCAAGATTTGGAAACTCTTGTCGACCGTGACAAGACTGCATGGCGGAATATCAAAAAGTTAGAGTTGGCAAAAAACCTCGGAGGTATCCTTACCTTGGGTTGGCTCATCGTTACTGTCGGATACAATTGGCCGCACACCTGACAGAAAAGAAAAAAACAAGAAATACTGAACAAGGATCACTCCTCAATACAACAGTAGAGCACTTGACTTGCAAGAGTACCGTTCTATCCCACGGCACAGATTGCAACATTCTATCTCACAGACAAACACAGTGGGGTGCTTGCTCCTTGCCAACCATGTCTGGGTGACCCTGGTTCAAAACCAACCCGGTACATCGTGGGCGATAAGATTTCCTCGAGGTAAGAGTAGCATAATTTATTGATGAACTTCAGCAGTTCTCGACCAATGAGGCAGCCCGATCTCGGCAGCAGAGATCTGATGAGTCACTAGCCTGACATTTACCGAGTAGTTGGAGCTGTCTGCTTGTCTGTCTGTCTTCCATGTGGTCGTCCAGCCAGCTGTGGCATGCAAACAGGTACTCCTTGTCCGCCGCCTCGCTTTCGCGGACGGTAACAGAGTCGATGAAAATGCCGGCACCTGATTAACCAAAAAAAAAAACCAATTAAGCCAATCAAGCATCTCCGTGAATGAATGTTCCATCTGAGATGAAAAATCAGAGCTAATGAAAGGAATTTAATGAACCCTGACTTGCAACAATAGCAAAGAGCGATGTTCCCTCATCTGGTCCACAAATAAGAAAATCATGTGCTTGCAAAGAAAACACAGAACCCTGGTTCTGAATTACAGTACGACGTGAACAAAGCATTTCTGCTTGAATTAGAAGTGACAATTCCAGGCACCATCCATTAGCACATGGTCTAAAGTCACAGATTTGCTGAGCTACCCTAAAAAAAAAACTAACTCGTGACTTGTGACAGGTTTTTACTTAATAGTACGAAAATTAACCATTTTCTTTGAATCCACTGAATTGGGCCCAGATTTGATCAGTCATGTAACAAACAAAACGTGACAGGTTAACTACTTCTCAAGAAATGAAATGTTGTACCATAGCCCACGCCGTCATGTCCGATTTCCACCATAGACACCTCGCCCAATGACACTGCCTCCACCTTGAATTCATCCATCTGACAAAACAACAGCATGCAAACAGTGATGCCTCTGGCAACTTGTGTTTATCGTTTCGGGCGCCTGAGATCAAGAGACTTTGCGGGCTATTCCAAAACTGCCGTGTAAACAGCAATGCAGTGTTGTAGTTGAGACCACTTAAGACCTTCACAAGACCACACCAGACCAGCACCAGATCAGCACGAGACCTCCCGTCTGAATTCAAGTCACAAGCTATTCAAATGAACTGCAACAAAGGCATTCCTTTGTCATTGTTCACGCTGATACTTGTGACTGGTCTTGTGTCTGGTCTTGTGACTGGTCTTGTGTCTGGTCTTATGATGGTTTCGACTGAAACACTGCAGCGATGTCCCACCGCAACGAATTTCATGGAGAATAGTAAAACAGGAGAATGGGTAACTCCCTTGGGAGGTGCAAAAACGGCACGCATGAATTTCCAGTCTCTGTTTCTGCCGTAGTTTCAATTCTGCAGCTCATTCCATCAGTTTATAGTTACTCCGGCTGTGAATCGTTTTTCTCATTTACATTGTAAATGCCCAGATTCACTGCTGAGAACGGGGCATGGATCTAGGACCCATCCATCGTAGGAAATACATGCCAGAGACAAAATGGCCAAGTCTGGGTAGGAGCATGGTCTGACATCAGTCAACACATGGACAGCATATCGTTGCATGCCTGACAAACTGACAAAATATGAAATTCCACTGTTTTTGAGAAAAACATGTTTCCAGTTAAGCAGTTATTGCGTGCTTGTTTTCTTTATTTAATTCAAACCACTTTTGATCTCTGTGTATAAAAGATACACGTTTGGTCTTTGAAATCATTTCTTGATTTGTATTTTGGGCTCCATGAGCAACACTGCTGTCAAACCTATACTTCATTTTGTGAGATAAAAATCGGCAAATCACCAGAACGGTCAATTCGCTTGTCTGTCAGAAATTTGCCAATGTGACAATATTTGCCAATGTGACAATATTTGCCAATGTGACAATATTTGCCAATGTGACAACATTTGCCAATGTGACAATATTTGCCAATGTGACAATATTTGCCAATGTTGGACTTACGTGAACTTCTGATCGTTTGTTACCACCTGACCCTTGGACAAGGGTCTATTAACTACAGCATACTTCCGCCACTGAAAAAGCTAATGTGCTTATCAGGTGTGTAGTGGGTCAGGTTGACTTACCTGTCCTTTCATGTATTTGACAGGATTATTCAGCGACTGGTACAGGACTCTCTTGCCTGTGTCGCCGCGCTCACCGTGAAGAACAACCCACATCTTAGCATCCGTGAAGGCTGCCCAGTGATCCCCAGTGGATACACAGACGCGGTAGACATTGACTAGAAACCAACCAAAAAATTATTGCAAGAAACAAAAACCAATTAGACGAGATACAACGCAAGAAGATGCTATTGAGCGTATGCATGAACAACAGAGGGTGCTGCGTAGTCAACCCATGGGAGCTGAGCAAGGACACATCACTTGTGTCAAACTGGACATTAATTGCTCAACTGTGCGCATGATTCAAAGAACGTGAATTTCTTTTGACTGCGATGCCTTCACAGTATGTTGCCACGGTTACCTGACAGTGTCTCCTGACCCTCCCGGACAGCCGGCAGCTCGCGCACGACGTCAAAGTCGTCCTCCTGCCGTGACATCCAGCGGTCAAACTCAAACACCAACTCCTCCTCCGAATGCTGGTCCACCATCTTCACCTAGTTGTGTGAGAAAAACAAAACAAATTCTCTATGATGCAATCTGTACAGAAAACCCTTCACCTTGAGAAAATACACTCATCTCTTTCCAAGACTGCATCATTAAAACCCCAACTCCCTAGGCCCTTTTACTAGGAACCATCCTGAATCCTCCGAAATCCTACGATTTTCAAAATTGCATTCAGCCCAAATCCTCCAAAATTTCATGAAAGTGTCATTTGGAGGTGTGCCTAACTGCCCGAATCCTTCAAAATCCTCCAGCAATTCCTATCATTATGTTGAGGCAGTGCGAATGGCACTCTTGAGCTGTGCAGTTGATTCAAAAGAAATATCGGGCTGAATTTGTGTTTGACTGAGCACAAACAACATAAGGTCTAATCCACGACCTTCGCGTATGGCATTCTTCAAAATCAGCAATGCACTTTTGCCATACTCCCTGAATCCTCCAAATTCCTCCACTTTGCAGAAAAGGATTTTCGAGGGTTAAGGTGGGATTTTCACAGCAGCAGTTAGAGCCACAGTGAAGTTTTAAAGAAGTTGGTCAAGTCTGGGACCATTCCTGAGGCCTGTCGCGCATGCATGTACATGTACCTGCTTCAGGTGCCAACCCTGCCATTCGGTGTCGTCATCGTGACCAATGCGAATCTTGTAGATGTCTCCTATGTCACCAACACTGATCTGCAGCAAAATGAGTCGTTACACTCGAGCTTAACTTTCATGTTTCAAAATGAGTCAGCGACGGTAAGTTTCAGCAATGATTAGTTCCATCTGTATCTTCAAACGAAATCGTCACGGCAACAGGCCGAGAGCACTTCTTTTAACATGTCTTCAAAGATGCACGTGCTTACAAAGGGGACAAAAATCCATTTGAAATTTTGAACTGTGAATGAGTTGGTGATGCTGCATGATTCTTTTGGGTGGGCTCTTGGTATAGTAACCTCAATGTTTTCTTTTCAAATATCCTAATTCGTCACATCTTATTCAGCAACCCTTAATGGCAAAAACTGAAAGAAAAGCAAACAGTCTGAGAATGTGAAATCAATGTCATCCTCTAAGTAAAAGCTCCACCTTGAATTCATCCGTGTTTCCGGCCTGGAAGTACGCATGTTCCTCTTCCTCAGTCAGCATTATAGGAGGTGACATGCCCTTCTCGCCGTAGACGACGATGTGAGCACGAGCGTTGTGAGGTGGCTTGGAGTCTTCGTCGGTGGATATCCACAGCTTCCATTCACCCTCTGCAACCAATCAAATCGTCACGCCAGCTAACCAAAATCCTCCTATGCCACTCTCCAAAACTCATCTTGGAGGTTTCCACCTTACTTCTGCCTATAGAGTTAGCTACCATATGGGAAACCCTTCTGATGTATGTGTCATTCCCTGTAGGTAATGCTTTTCCTTCAAAACTTTTTCCTGAAAAATCTTTTAGAAAATTTAACTAACAAGAATCCTTGTTTCCCCCCCTAACTTGTGATGGGGAGGTTACAAAGTCCTCTGTTTATGGCAGCTTTGCCTTTGGAGCAGAAGTTTAAACTCTGTTTATAATGAGAATGTATCCATTTCATTACACCACATATTCCTCGGTAAGAATTCCCTTTCTGACTGAGAAAACTCAGCTGGTCTCAGTTTGACTAGGCTTTCAAAGGAATTTGTAAATTTGAGATTAATTATGTACTCACGTGTAGGAAGCTTGACTCTCTCTGAAAAAGAAAACAGGAAGATCTTTTACATAACATTCAGAACAATAGACGGTATGGCATGTGTCGGCCATCTTGAATTGAAAGTGATGTGAAACTTTTCATTTTGGGAACCAGAGAGTAAAAGCAACAGTGGCAAAATAAAATTTTAAACCAAATTCCTGCCAGGTTTTGTTTACAAAAATTTAAAATTTGTAATGAATTATATCTAAATGTTTTAAGCCACATTTACCCCTTCGCACCGGGAACTCGACAGCCGCGGCTTTGTGTGCTGATTAGTGCATACCACACATGCATTCTATTCACCATGCAGCTGCGGTTTCATTGTAGGCCTGCTGCTGGACAGAGCTTTGCACTGCAGCCCAGCAGTCGCAGTCAAAAGAATCCCGGTCAAAAGAATCCCGGCGTTAAGGGGTTAAAAGAAAACCTGAAAGGGAGCCTTGGAACACAAAATAGTCTGGCACCACACCATTTAACAGACTACATTGAGTGTGGTAAATTCAGGGAACAAGATAAAAACATGAATTCCCCATGAATGTGGTCTATTTGATTAAGACAAATAATGAGTAACATTGTGGACATTTAAAGGTGCACTCCTAAAATACACAGAAATAGTACTCACTTGTTTTTTCATCGACTGTGACAGCTTCACTTTCCACATCACTGCAGACGGTATAGATGTCAAACGAGTACTCGGTCATTTGAGTTAATCCGGTGAACTCCACCTCATTTACATCTGCCTCAACCTTCTTCTCCTCGACAACCTGCTTGCTGCCCTCTGTTGACAGACTGGCATTGGCAGGCGATTTCTCAACACTAGAGGGAGCTGTTTCATCAGCAGGAGAACCCTCGTTGCCGGGATCACTGGACGCTGGGTCCTCTGTCTCTTTGGGTTCGTTACTTCTCTCTGGTTTCTCATTGGCTGGACTGTCGGCTGGGTCTTCTGCCTTGGGTTGGTCTGTTTTCTCTGGCATCTCGTTGGACTGACCCTCCTCACCTCCCTTTGCCTCCTGGGAATCAGAGTTTTTAAGACGGCACACCACACGGTATCCCGTGAGCTGGCAGTCGGGAGCTGACCACCCAACTGTCACACTCTCTGTTGTGCTGTTCGTCTTGGGCTCCAACACAGGCAGCGGCTCTGCAAATGTTATTACTTTGAATATTAACTGATAACTGACATAAGCCAATCGCAGAAAGCTGTGACAACACATAAATCACATTCGCAGTAAAAGATTACAAGAGAGGAACCTAGCAAACTGAAATTCAATTTTACAAACTAAAAGGTATTACATTTTACCACCTTTATCATTTTAACACAGTCAAACAATGAAAATGGCTTTCGATTTGGATATTTCAATGTGATTGCAGACACATGAATATCACACAACCCTGGATAAATGTGATGTGACCCTTTGAAATGAGGATAAAGTCGCCCGTTACCATTTGCTGCTCTGTTTAAAGATGTTGTTCCATGAAACGCTTTAAAACTGCCCAATTTTTTATACAGACTTGGAAAATAATGAGCCAAGTCAACACTCGGGTCGTACAGCAACAGAAGGGTCCCTTTCTGCTCTGTCCAATGATATGAAAAGCTTTACACTTCATTTTTTACAACTTTATTCTCGTTTCACTAGAGTGGGTCAATGGTTGGTAGAGTAACCATTCAGCGGACCAACACTGCAAGGTTTGTTTGTGCGAGGCAAGAAATTGCAATAACTGAATAAGAAGACACAAAACAGTGACGGAAAAGTGACGATTAATGCTGGGAGTAAGAAATCAGTACCGCGAAGACAACCCATCCTGAAAATGAAACAAAATTTCTTGTCAAGTATTTCGGCACATCACTTGTTCCTGCAACTGGAATCATTCAAACAAATGCTCATGTCAAACTGGAGAGTTAGTACAATTGCGAGGGATGTGAAGACACTCAGATTGTATTAAGTGACCGATTTATCACTGCACTCATAAGACTGGAGCTGACTTGCAAATCTTAGCAGAGAGTTTGGTGCAACTGAATTGGGACTGAATCTTGAGCACGGCAACACGTGGCACACGACTAGCCTCTGTACAGCAGACCCACGACATCCATGGCTTCTGACTCACTCTGTCCTTCATCGGTCATTCCCTCCACCTCAACCACCGGACTCTCTTTCTGCCCGTCAAGGGTTTGAATTCCTGCCAGGTACGCCGTGCCGCCTGGCAGTGAACTAAACTCCACTGAGGTCTTCTCAGCAGCAAGGATCCTGACCTCGGGATCGTCCCGGTTGTCTTTGAGGGAGAACGTGACCTTGTAGCCGGTGACGGGTCCGTCTGGTTTCTCCCATGAAACTTTGAGGGAGCAGGATGTTGCCTCGCAGGTAGCTTCAACCACAGGTCGTGGTTCTGTGGGGGGATCACCAGCCGAGTTGTACTACTGTCACTAACTTCTCAAACGGTTTAGTGTAAAACTATTGTTTCAAAACCTTCAATGAGTTCAAGACTTACACCAATTTTGAACACTTGAGAAACAAAATGCACCTGTTTCAACTTCTGAAGTTGTCACATCAATAAAACCCTGAAGTTAAACTTTCACTGTGGCCAACACAACTCATATCACAAGACCCTACTTGAGGCCCAGAAATTTCTGTGCGTGTTCCTATCAGTAATGCAAGTCAATTATTCTACAAACTTGGATTCAATTTACTCGAGTTAGAGTCTGAAAGCAGAACTCAAACGTGAAGCCGCACTTACTTCGACTATGTCTCCATCTCAACTAACTCTAAGGACAATGCACTACATTCAAGGGAAAATGGAATAATGGTAGGGCCTAGCTTGTCTGAAACCGTGTGAATGATTCTGGTTCCCGCATCTCATGACGCCTGACTCACGTTCTTCCTTGCTTTCTGGCAGTGTCGTCCCTTCGACGGCAACTTCCTCGCTCAGCACGCCGCCGCTCAGTGTGGCAATCAGGCCAGTGTAAGCAGTGCCTGCCTCCAGGCCGCCGAACGTGACCCTCGTCTTCTCCCCACCCAGGATCCTGATCTCCGGATCATCGGGGCGAGATGAGGGACGGAGGGACACACGATAGCCTGTTATTGGCCCTTCTGTGGGCCTCTCCCAGGACAAGGTCAAAGCACTCTCCAACGACTCGCTCTTTGGATTGAGAACAGGTTGCGGCTCTGCGAGTGGAAGATACTCATTTTCATGAAGAGGGATTTCTCAAGCTTAATGCATGTGCATAGAAACTTGTTGGATTAGTACTCAGACTCAACAATGTGTGAGTAATCACGGCACTGGTGCACGAAAATGCATGTTAGCAGTTTAAATCTCTGTTGAAATCAATAACTGAATGATGAAAGCACTTTGAAAATGGACATTTGTGTCTCTTGAAGCTAAAAGAATGCCTCTCTCCATTTAACCGTAAAAAAGCCACAGCAATCATCTAGTACCACATTCATCGTAGCACTGCATGGGAATCCACAGGCGGTCCCAAACTGGCAAGGATTCTAGATTGGGAAGAGACCGTTGCAAATGGGTGTGGGCTTGGAACACAAGAGGGCTGTTTGTTTTGTGCGGAACCTATCATGATCGGTGATCTGTCGTTGGTTCACTGACACCAGAACCCGCCAACTGGATAGAGCAAACCAGCTTTGGAACCACTGATAGCGACCTGGATCCGTGCAAAACAAACAGGTCCAAGGTGTTTCCATTATGTCTGTGTAGGGAATTGGAGTATCCAGTCAAAAGTGGGAGTATTTGAACTTCTGAGACAATCTCTTACCATTGAAATGGGATTTGAATTGCTGGGTGCTTTAATTAGAGACTGCAACGTGCTGAGGTTTTTTTCTGTCACTCCACGCGAGGTGAAAGACAACCTGTCACTTCAATGGGTGCAAGTCACACTTTGCCACTCATCAGTAAAACTCACTATCCTCCGAAGGATCAGCTGGGGATATCGTCTTTCCAGTCAATGTGACCACTTTGCTTTCGACCGACTTGTTCAGACAGAAAACGTCCACCGCATACTCGGTCTCCGATTCCAAGCCGGAAAACCTGACAGTGGTTTTCTCACAATCTAGGATTCTAGTCTCTGACTGGTCAGACTGGGCTGGTTTGCATTCCAATCGGAAGCCTGTGATTGGTCCATCTGGTCTCTTCCATGACACAACAAGGGCCGAGCCTGTGATTTCAGCTAAAGTGGCATCTAATGTTGCCTTGGGCTCTGTGGGGTTGAATGGTGGTGAATTCACACAAAAATTAAACAGGGAAAACCAACAACTGAAACTGTTCAGGGACGGATTTGCGTTGGGGAGACGTAAATTAATTTTGGATTTTGCCCTGCCCGACGTGTATTTTAACACTGTATGCTCAGTGTTATGCCTCCGAGGGCTTGTGAAAAAAAACACAACTGTGCTCGGGTGGGACTCGAACCCACAACCTCCTGCTTACTTGTGCAGTCAACCACTTGACTACTGAGCTTGCTGGTGTCGGCTGGCTTGTTCGAATCAGATGTAGCAGCGGGTACCGCGAACAACTATTTCAAGGATGGATTTGTGCCAGGAGATGTAAATTAACTTTGGATTTTCTGGTTTGCTCTGCCTGACATCGCCCGAGTATGCTTGTGGTTTGTTTCACAAGCCTTCGGGGGCATACACTGAGCACAGAGTTTTACATACACATCGGGCAGGGCAAAAATCCCAAATCAATTTGAAACTGATTTTAACATTTGGTACTCCAACCTCAGATTTTTCAACGTATTCAACCGACGCAATTCAATATATTCATCTTGACCAACTAAAAAAAAAATCCAGCGGCAAGCTGCGTGGTGTTTCCACTCTGGCATTGTGTACCGAGTTGGCCAAAAGTAAGCAAAACCCCACGCAAGAAATTTAACCAAGAAAGGACTCTGTTCGATTCATCGCAAACTGCCCGCACGACTCAGAGATGGCCAAAGAATTTTGAAAAAGAATGGCAAGAAGAAGGAGGCCATCGTTAAGTGTACCCACGGCAAGAATGAAGACTCTACAAGTATGAGGAACGATGCTTGTATAAGAAACAGAAAACATATTCTGGGGACTTCGGCTGGACTCACTTTCCACACCATCTGCTTCTTTTTCCTCTTCTTTAGTTTCCTCTTCCTGCTCTTCCTCGTCCTGTCTGGCAGCCGTCGTCATCGTTTCCAGCCCTACCATCTCGCTCTCCACAGTCCCATTCAAAGTGTAAACCTCCATCCCGTACTTTGAACCAGCATTCAAGCCGCCAAACGACGTAGCGGTCTTACTGGAATCCACTATCTTGACAAGTTCCGTGTCAGAGTCGGCGTGCTTACAGACCACCTTGAAGCCAGTGACGGGACCCTCTGGATTCCTCCACGAGACTCGTAGAGAGTCCTCCATACTAGTAATCACAGCGTCTAGTACCTTGCCTGGAGCTACATAGCGACATCAAGAGCCATTACAGATAGGTCACTCGGAAGCGACAATTCAAGCCATAGTGCTTATGTCAAGAATACGTTACATATTCCTATTCCATCTTTGTTCAAATAACATCATTTCAAAGTCAGTGATGGAATTTCTTCATGAGCACACACTTTCACACACAAAATCCAATATGTTTAGTGACCTGTAGCTTTAGACAACCCTGACAGATCTATACCAGTCAACCCGTAGAGTTTAAAGGCTGGTTGCTGGCTCCATCTACTGATCTTGAGGATTTCGTTATCGGCATGTGACCTCACGTCTTCATCAACTTTGCTGAAGACTTAATTCAACGAATGAACATTGTGACTGTGCCCACAGATTAACTTTTGACCACCATTTTAACACCTTGGTCTGACTACTTTGTATAAATTAACCCAAACAGTCCTCAATCTTCCAAAAGGCGATGTACTGAAGACCGTTGTAACTGTTTAAAGCCCAAAGTGACTGCTGATAATTGAAATGCACAAAGCCATTTGCTCCCTAAATTTGACATTAGTTAAATATGTTTGTATCTGCAATGGAACATTGCTGCAGTTAACATTTCAAGATTAGAAATGACTTTTGGGATTAAACAAACAGATATAAAAGGAAAAAGAAAAGTTTTCAGATAAAAACTAAATGCAGCCTCATTCACAGTAGATGAGCCTGCAAGAAAAACAGCAAATCTTCAAAAGATCTCCAAATATGACTCTCTCTTTACAAGGGTGCATATAAAACATCAAACAGTGCGGCCGAGTCGTCAACCTGTGCATCAAGTCCACACATGACTCACTTGCGGTCGACGGCACATCGTTGCTCGGAACTGTCTCAGCCGCTTGTGCCTCGGCTGCTGCTGCTGTGGTTGAGGCCGATTTCTCCACACCCTCGCTCTCCGCCGCACCGGCCACCGCTACTACCTGCGCTACATACGCCGTCTCGGGTGTCAGGCCTGAGAATCTCACGCTGGTCTTCCCACCGTCGACGACCCTGATCTCAACAGCTTCAGAATCTGATGACTCCCCGGACCTGCAAGTGATCTTATACGCTGTGTGAAGAGCGCCCTCGGGTGTTGTCCAGGAGACAGTAAGTGATGACTCCGTTGCTTCCACAATAACCTCTTGTGCAGGGATTGGCTCTGATAGAGAGGGTTTAACATCAAGGTTAGGACTTTAAGTAGTTAACAATGAGACGTGAGTTAACCATAATCACTCCATGCAGCCAACTGGGATGGCTGGCGCAATGTGCACTCATAATGCGCACAGGATCTGTGGAAAGACATACAATGATACAGACAAGATATTGAACAAGGTAATGGCCAGGGTGACTGCAGAGGCGCAGAGGTGTATTTGAGCATCATCAACTGGAATACACAACAGTTCTAGCAGTGGAAGTGTAGCTATTTCTTCACACAGACAACCAGACAAGTTTACTATGACACACTTCACTGTTTAAAGCTAGACCTTTGCCACTCGAGCCAGTCAATATGACAGCAAGAATATTGTAAGAGTGGAGCTAGTGAGAAACGATTTGCCAGAGTAGCGCAGCGGTGCAATATTTGGCAGCGACTATCGTGGCAATTTCAAACTCACGATCTGGGGAAATCGTTTTTGTCAAAAGCACGATGCCTTCCCCTTCTGACTCGCCGCTCAGGGCCCAAATCGCCACCTGGTATTCACTCTCTCGGTCCAGCCCCTCCACGGAAACCTCCCTGCAGCTCGAATCCAGGGTCTTCGCGTAACCACTGGAAGTATCACACCCGGGATGGCCAGGGGACTCTTCCGTTCCCCCAAATAGGGGTGTGCAAGCCACCCTGTAGCCTGTCACCACACCTGCGGGTGGGGACCAGGAGCAGGTGATGGCTTCGGCCAAAGTCAAAATTTGGGGCTCAACGACCTTTCCTGGCACTACAGGGGAAAGAGAATCGAAGTGGATCAAGTCTTGAAGTACGCAGTAAAAAATATCATTTGGAAGACATCTCTGTTTCGTGTCACTGACCGCAGAGATATCACAATTAACGCACATTACATTTTGGCCGATGTTAACTGATTGTTGTTGAGTCTTACTCGACTTACTTGTTGTGCAGTTGACGGACACTTTCTCGCTCTCTTCTTGTTCACTGACGGTAACGATGTTGAAGAGATATCTCTGGCCGGGTGTCAGACCAGTTACTTCACAGTTGGTTGTATCAGCGCCGTCAACGGATACAGTCTGACTATCTGCAGTTTGGCCACTGGCTGGTTTATCCTGGTCGTCAACTGGTTTATCCCGGTCGTCAACTGGTTTATCCTGGTCGTCAACTGGTTTATCGCGGTGGTCCACCAGTTCATCGTGCCCGTCAGCCGGTTTGTCCTGTCTGTCGGTTTCCTCCTTGCTGACTGGTTGGTACTCGATGCGGTAACCAGTTAGATCGCCCTCAGGTCTAGTCCAAGCGAGATTGACAGTATCTGTGCTGCTTGACTCGATGCGGGCATCCAGAACTTCGCTGGGCTCTGTAATCAAACATGATTCAAATCACTTAAATCAAATCACAACATTGACTTGTCTGTTATTTGAAGAGGGAGACACAGCAAAGACAAATAGTTTACTAAGTCATAGAAATTTGTAACAGACCATAATTATGAAAGCAGTTGTAACTTTGACAAAAGTACATGCAACATTTCAAACCAAAAAAGCCTAGAGTTGTAGCAAAAGTTCTTTTAAGCTTGTTTTCTACATTGCCCTAGAAGTCAGTCTTAAAGCAGGCTTCTGACACACTATGCAGAGATGAAAGCCGGTCACTTAAAACTAGTCACAAGTCAAATCACAATTTAGTTCAAAAGTGCTAACATTTATGTGACATGGCATGGATATTGATAGAGGATGCCTGTTTCACAGTTCATTGGAATGCCCTCTAACTTGAGTGTGGATGGTTTTCAATTTGCTTACAATTACTTCATTATAACTTGGACATTTTGTTATTCAAAATTCTTGAAAATTACTTGTTCTTTGGGATAAAGTCGTCTTGTTACTCTCTACGTCGCCATTACGTGCGTAGATCTCCAGCTCGTACTGCCGGCCAGGAGTCAACCCATCAACCTGCACCGTGGTCGTATCCCCGTTGTCTATCATGATCTCTGATGTCTCGCTATCGGCTGGTGTGCAGAGCAACCGGTAGCCGGTCACCGTGCCTTCTGGCTTGGTCCAGGAAACACTGATGGTAGTCGGGGTGCTGGATGCAGTTGGGTCCTTGGGTTGGTTGCTTTGAGCGTCTGTGGGCAGAGAATCAATTCTGTGTCAGATTTGGAAACCAGTAGTTGTTTGAGTTTCTGGGCGACTCAAAACTATGTGGAAACGTACCTTGCATGACATTCGAAATGAGATTCAGAGTAAGATTCAGTGGGACACAATGTACAACTTTGCATTGAACAGGTCATAGGTCAAGGGTCTGGCCAAGGAAGGTTTGATCAATACTTGTTTTCCTGAACACGGTTCTGTTTTGAACACAGAATCAGGTACTGGACAACATCTTGATAAACTCCGGATATCACTAAAAAGAAAAGAAAACAAATTATGAAAATTCTGAGCAAAAAAGTAGGTCTCCAGCATGAACGTACACAAATGTTGATCGACTGAAAAAGTATTTAAAATCTCACACTTGAGCATCAACAAAGCATAAAATGAAACTATAAGGATCAATTTAGGATCAAGTCCTAAAACGGGCTCCAATCACACAAGCACATTTCTCAGCATTAATCTAGCAATTCAATATTACTATTAGTATGACAAATTGGTTATGAGGTGCAATATTTAGGCCTACAAGTGCATCAATACGAAGCTCCAGTTACGGCAAAATACGTGTATGCATTTTTGTGAAAATAACCACAAAGACATACTGCTTTTACATATCAAAATTATCCTAGCAAGAACAACACAGGTTTGTATTTGTGCAAAATGTACCATCAAAATAAGCTTTTTACGAGTTACATTTTGAATAAAATCTGGTACACTGAGTTATCTTATTGCACATAAACATAACAGTTTGAATTCCCCAGACTAAAGACAGTGTTGCTGTATCTCGTGATTCGGGGCAAGCTTTTGCATAGCGACAACCATCTCTGGAATGGATTGGTTCCTTTGTGCCCTTCTTATCCACTGAAAACAACGTATTGGTGCAAGGCGTCTCTTATGTAAGAAAGCAAAAGCTTCGCCTGAATCACGAGGTATAGCAACAGTGTCTTTAGTATGGAGAATTCAAATTATTATGTTCACATGGATTTAAAGAACTCAGTGTACCAGATTTTATTCAAATTTAACTCGCAAAAGGCTTATTCACGCACAGGAGAAGAAGAGATTACATGTGAAATTCTGAACACTTCACTCAAGTGAAGAAGATTGAGCGGTTAAGTTTCATACAGAATGGTGCAGACTTTATCACAACACGTGCAATGACTGACGTCAAAACTCCAAACATGTTTGACATCAACAGTCAGACCAGTTGGTATCATAACAAAGGACCAGTGGACATCATTGGGACGTGGTTGGTACCACAGCCCCTGCTGAGTTCATTGTTAG